CTCTTCTTGTTGTTTTGGTCAATGAATTTGTGTTGTGTTGTGCCTGCTGCTGGTTTCGTTTTACCAGCCTGAAGGTTTGCAGGTCGAGTGACCCGTCTGACTCTTGGCCCATTCGATGTTTCGGTTTTGTAATATGTGCGGCTAATGTTGAAAATATAGGGGTCCACAATTAACCTTAAGAATTGTAGAAACTGTTCGCGAGGGGCGATTGAAATGTAATACAAATGGGCAACTATTTTTGCACGTATTCTATGGATAAAAATGCTAGACTTACTTTATATTTTTAAGTAAAATGAAGAATTATTATTCAAATAATATTCATAACGATTCTATAATCTAAAAATTTTTATAATAAATGAAATATTTTATTAAAATATTAATTGTAATATAAAAATTTAATTTAAATTAGGTCTTCAATCTAAATAAAGTTTGGCTATAGTTATTAGAATTTCACATAAAGGAAAGTTTAGTTATCCATAGAGTACAAATAGATAACCTGCCAATTCGTTAACAGATTCTGTACCAATGTATTGAATTGGATTTGAATGTCTTAATAAGACCTAACAAAGATCGTAATCTGATAATTTGATTCAGTTTCAGTGGAAAACATTTATCAGAGTTGCTTTGAACAATAGTTTCCCTAGCTTATTCCTAATGATAATAAGATACATTAACGGGCCTATGCAAAGTTTTATAAAGATAGATGTCTGGTCGATAATATATGTATACATACCTAAAAAATATGTATATATATGTATATTTATTTATTTATCTTTTTTTTTATAGGTATTTGTCTCTACTCTTGCACATTTCTACACTTTTTTACAATACCGTCTTCTTTATGTAAGTATTATATGAAGATATAATAGAAATGATTGAAGCTTCAAGGCTTTTTGCATTTAATAGGAAAACAAAACAGACCGTCGATAAATCAGTTATTTGAAAAAGGTTAAATTATAAAGCTTGCCTGACATATTTGTTTAACAAATAACAACAACAACTACAACTATATCGTACAGCTGAAATGGGAACAGCTGAATAAATTTCTGAGGGCATTTCGTCTAGGAGCTATCAGCAGCTAACTTTCTTTAGTTATATATGGAAAACAGCTTAGTCAAATGTATTAGTTTCTTGAGCTGCCCTCGGTATGCATACATAAAACATTTATATATGAATAAGTATTAAATGTTTTATGTGGTTTTTGTTTGTCGTTTTTTTTTTAAGCTCTAAAATTTCATAAGCCACATTTAGTTCAATGCCAGGAAGTGCGTTCCGCTTTTGAAAGACTAGTTACAAAATGCTGACTCTACGACTATTTATGTGCTACTAATTAATTAGCTCAAATGTCAGTTAGAATCTATCTATCGGTCACTCTGTTGTGGCGTGTGTGTGTGTGTGTGCTTGTGTGTCTCAGTCTGTGTACAGCTGCCGCTCGCTTGACTCGTTTCACACTTTCCCGGTTTTTCTTTGCTGATAAGCATACACAGATGGGTGTTTGTCTGTGTTCTTCTTCATCTTTTTCTACGTCTATTTGTGATGCACACAGATAAGCTGCTTGATCAAGATAACGGTGAAATGTATGTCACGTCTGACGCTCTCTACGGCTACGGCTGCTGCTGCTGCTGCATTTTCTTCGGCCAACGCTGTGGGAAGCGTGAGCGTGTTAATAGATAAATCGGTCGAGCGCTCTTCCAGTACGTGCTCCACAATTAAAATTGATTTCTGCCTATGAATATTAGCTATAGCCAAATCTAGCACCACGAGGCACTCATATATAACACATATATATTTTTATATATACCCATATATTAGCTGGAAACCTGATCATAGACCTGCTGCTACTATCATGCAACCTGTTTGGCAAGTGGGCGTCCAGCTAGTCAATACGTAAGGCAAAAGCTAACAGGTGCTGCCACCTGCGACCGGGCCTTCGCCTTATAGAGAGATTCAGCAGAGTCCGTAGACTGACTGACTGGGCGATGTCTGTTTCTGGTTTCAGTTCTGGTTCTGCTTCTGAAGCTGTTTTGCAATCTTTAAGATTTTGCATATTTCATGCGATGTTTTGTAATCTACAGTAAACGATCTAAATGGGTAGCATCAGAGTCTAGCCAAAGCCGTGACTGATTGAAGATATACCCTGTAAACCTACTAATTGTTATGGTATTATATTGATAGTGTGAAGTTCTTTCTAAATTTTTGTCTGTCTTAGTTTCAATAGCAAATATTTCTAGTTCTATTCATTTATATTTTTATAATACAAATTTCTTGGTATTAGTTACAATACTCTATATTATGATCATGCAACCTGACGAAAGTTCTTTCGGTAAACAAATATAATAAGCATACCATAATATAGCTGTATACATACTTGATACTCTAGGGAACTTCGGCTTGTTTATTTATCGACTTCAGTTTCACAATAATAATAAACTTAACCAAAGTCGAACGTGTTGTAAAGCTCATATTTGTTGTTATCATATATTATATATACATATGTATATATGTTTATAGTCTGTTGATTGTCTGAATTTATATCAATGACTGATTAATTCAATACAGTTAAAGACCCCTTTGTTGAAGTTGTTTTTGCATTACATTATATTTTATGGCTTTTCTACTCGCTTGAAAGAAATATATTAAGTATTGTCTATCTATATTGAACTAAGAGAGGCTTGAAATTTGAAGTATAAGCAGATATAGTTTAATAGTTTTTTTTACTATATAATAAAATACTCAAATATTATCATAATATATTCTAAACGTATAGATATGACGAAGTTCTAGTGTAATAAAATGTCTCTTGATATACCATATCTAAAATGAAGACCATTTATGATCTCATTTAATGATAAGCTCAAAACAGAAGTCGTAAAAAGGTGGGAAACTAAATATGCCCTAATAAATAACGTCTGGTTTGACTTGGCTCGACGGCTCTTGTTGTTCAGTGTAGGAGTATAATGCAGTCGGTTTCACATGAGTGCAACATTCTTTTACTTGCTTTAGTTCTGGCTTCTCCTTATCATTAGTTCAGTTCAATGCACTTTCGAGTCTTCACTTTGCTTTTCACATCACTTATCCACGGAACAATCGTGGGGACTGAAGGCTTTACTTCCGATTTGAGCTCAACTCCTACATGATTCAGATACACACACGCACACACACACATTGATATGTATATTGTGTATCGTAGTTAAACCAGTTTAATTAAGAAGCGATACTCAGTTGGGTTTCAGCGGAAGCGTAGATGATTCAGAAGCGCCTGCTATTCAAAGTGTAACAAACAAATGAGCGCTTAATAATTCGAACAACAAAATAGAGCTCTTAATACATATAAGGCGCGACAAGTTTTTCATTCACAAAATAATAAGTATATTTATATATATACTCATAATAGTAGCATAGCTAATAGCGCGTAAAACGAGCGTGGGAGTTTCTATTGATGAAGTTTCTTGTTTTCTGTTTTCAGTTGTCAGTTTTCAAACGCGTTTATAAATCAAACAAACAATATCACATATTTACACAGTTGCATTCACGCACACACACACACACACACACACAGATGCATTTAAGTATCTCTCAAAATGCGTGAGAAAGAGAGGAACGGGGGGAGCTGTTTTTTTTAGGTTAAGTGGGACACTGAGCGTTCCACTTTGAGCTGCTGCCGTTTTTGACACTTTGACTCGAAGTCGAATTTGTTGTTGGTTTTTTCATTCTCTCGGCTTGGGCGTTGCTGTTCTTGCCACAGTTCTTTGCATTTAATTTTGAGCAGGATAGTTTACCGTTAGCTTTTGATATGCACTTAAGCTTCCACTTCCACTTACGCTCCACCTTATTGGAGAACGACGCAAATTGATTATGCTGCTAATTTATTAGATTTTCTACTCAAAGCAAAGAGACAGCTAACTCGTTTCGCTGCTGCTGCCTTTTACAGTTCTTAGCCAGACACTAACACTTGGGCCACCGCCTCGACCACTGTTCAGAGTGAGGGGCAACAAGTCCACAAATTCACCTGTAGCTGTGTAGCGAGTCGTTTAGTTTGTTGTTTTTTATATTATCTTTCTGTCTCTCTCCATCTTATTCTTTCGCTTCTGTTCGAATTGGCTGCTTGGCCACCACTTTAGCACTTGGCTAGCTGCTGCTTCGCCTTCGTCTGCTACTTGCTGTGCTGTTTACAGCACGCATACACACTAACACACTCACACTCACGCGCACTTTTACAATTTATGTATTTTCTTGTATTACTCGTTTTTAAGCTTATGCTGCTTCATGTTTGGTTTGTTTAGATGTGTGTATACATGTGTGTGCTGCTGCTGCTGGTTGTTGTTGTATGCGCATAAATTAAAAGAGAGAAAAACACACGTCTGTACACAATAAAAACCTGTTTGTTGCTTGACTCTAGGTGTGGGCAAACGCAACGCGGCGCGGCGCGGGGGTTGGTACGCTTGAGTTGGCTTGTAGTTTTTTTTTTGTAGTAAACGCAACAGCAGTCACATTAGCTTTGATTTTAAATATAAATTTTACACATAAAACTCACAATAAATCAATTTTTTATGATGTGTATGCATCTTATGCAAACCTTAGCCGTCATTAAACTCACCAAAATTCATAAAAAATGTTCAAATAATGATCAAATTAAGCGAAAAACACGAACTACAAAAATTATACTCTTTACACTACGGCGGCCATTTTGCTGTGAGTTGTTTGGTATACATCTAGTGATAGCGACGGGTCGACAGCATATCGACATCGATAGCGATTTTAAACAGAGTTAGCATGCCCACAGCTGCAATCGAATATATGGTCTCACTAAATGTTAACGATATATCATCGATATTGTTAGCCCAGCCACCCCCGCAGAGAAACACCGATAATGAGAAGTGTAAAGTTATTTACCTTAAAATGAATCTATTAAATTTATAAAGTGTAAGACACTTGAACATAAACACAAATATTTCGTAACCAAAATGACGTCAAAGTAAGTGCATTCATTAATAAAAAGATATAATACAAAAACTGCGGTGAATTTTTCGTGCGTGGGTATGTGTGTATGCAAGTGCCTTTACCTTTGTGTACGTGTATTTGTTTGTGTGGCTTATGTGTATGTGGGGGTATTTCACTGTGTTTGTTTTGAGCTGCAGTCTCTACACACATACAAAGATACGGCATTATGCCAAGAAGAAACCAATAATAAGCTGCTGATAAGCATACGAAAGGGTATGCTTGTAATGTGTCTGTGCATGTGTGTGTATTATAAGAAAAAATGGTATTCAGAATAGAATTATGTATATTATATACAAATCAGATTATCGTCTTTAAAGACATGCATGAGAAATTTAGGAATAGTCAGTTTGATTGAAGAATATTTAAAATGTATATTCATATACACACATAGATATATAGTGTCTACATCGATCCCGAGGTAAATAGTCAGAAAATAATTAACTTTGATGATGGTAGACTGATCGTCGACTACGAAGTAAGCCGTATTGGATATTTTGCTAAATATACTTATGAATATTATGCTCGAGACCCCTTATTTGACACTGAAGTCACTAGCTAAATTAAATTGGCGTTACGCGTAATCAATGATAATTAATTATGTACTTGAAATGGCTGAGTACCGGCAGCATTTCCAGGGTCGTAACATCACGTGTCAATATTTCAAAAATTGCTTGTAAGCCATTCAATTGTAGTTTCTAACGAACACCTCTTGAGCTCGGGTTCAATTTGACAAGATGAGTTATTCATTAAAAGCTTGGCGAGCTATTCTGATGAATAATACTTCGGTGGGAGGATACAAAGCCATCATTAGGTTTTAATATGAAATCAGTGATTTTTTTTATTTATTGCTAACTCATAGCTAAGAGCGATTCGAAACTCGTTTTCGCAGCTTTTAGTCTTTAAAATATGAGAAGCTGCGGTTGAGAAAGTCAGTTGCCATTGTGGCATGTGTAAAAGGGGCACAATGCTTAAAACGGTGAGTTTGCGGCAAATCTTTACTATTACCGAGATTAATGTTTCAATTTGTATCGTACATACATATGTACATATACCTGAAGTACATTGTGGCATTGATAGTCCATGCAGCATTTGCGGCACCAGCCACAATTGTGCCACGCATCCAGAGCGATAATGGCTTTCAACTGGAGCCTCAGGATGATCAATATACGTTGAGGTATGCCTCTATTCAAATATAATCGATATGTTTAATCGATGGGATCGATTATTTAGCATACGACATCCGGATGGCAAAAGTTGGCGCGAAGAGACGGTGCAACTGACTCCAGCAGGTGTGCCGGAAGTCAAAGGTATAATCAATCAGGCTTTTGATGATCGAGGCGCCACCTTGTTGGTCACCTACGAGGCGGGGCCTAATGGATATGTGGCCAAGTATAGATATAAAAGCAATAGCCAACCCGAAAGACCGATATATGGAATACTTTTAAGTTCAACTCTTTTAAAGGTAGCAGCCGGTTGAAAGTTTTGTATAGCACTTTACTTAATAAAAGAATAATATGCTATATGTAGTATGCTCATTTGCAGAAAATTAATGAGCTTGAGTAATACTTCTTGAGCTAGGATAGATTCGAACAATGAAATATATCGCAAAGGCTAAAAATTCACTATACTATATACATATATATTACATATGCATAATCTAGTGCTATTATTATGAAATTTTGTACACATCGATATATTTTTTAGAGCCTCGGCTTATCTCTCATCTTGTTTTAGGTACTTGTGCACGTATTTTGAATGCACTTTAGAACATATTTTGTCAGATGCCTAAAAGTATGCTATAATAACTAGCAAGTAACCATTCAAACTTGTCCAAGCTGAATTTCAAATACACTTACACATGCTAAAGATTACCACAGTAAATTTCAATCTCTCTCTTCTTCTGTCACGCTTTCTGATAAGCACATATCGATATTAGTTTAACGATTGAATTTGAATTGTGTTGGTTGTGCTATCGATTACAGTTGACCCTCAAAACAGTTTCGTGGCATTCAAATAATTAACGCTTGATTTGGCATGCAAACTGATATTCATATACATTAGTTAGATCGTAAATTAACGGCGTAGTAGACAGTAATTTCACCTCACGTCACCTTCGTCACTACCCCACTCCGCACCTGCTCGGCTCGTTGTGAGAATCGTGAGCAAAATATCAAACAATGCTGCGCGGCTGTTTGGCACCTCATATCATATTTATCAGCCAGCCAGCTGGCAATTCAGTTGACTTTCTGTGGCACTCGTGTATTGACCGACTTATCATCTACGTGGTGCGGGAGCCGATAAGCCGCCACGATGCAGCTTTTGGCATGAATTATCCAGCAATTGCTTGAGTTTCTCTTCCTCTCTCTTTGTACTCTGGCAAAATGTTTAAAGAGTGGCGGAAACCGAATTACAAACGCTGGCAGCATCATCAGCAGCAGCAGAAAAAACAAACGCTACGGCAGCTACAGCGCCGAATGCTTGACAGGTGCCACTGGCAGTGACTCTCCAACTGTAAGAGAGGTTTTCATTAATGCTTGATCAATTCTCTTAATCTTCACAGAGAGACGATGATTGTGTTTGTCTATGACACAGAGTGTCTGAAGGACGAGGCAGATGATCCGATTGCCGCGGTGCTCTACTTCCATCCCAGCTGGGTATCGGACACACAGAAAGTAGCCCTATGTGGCCAGCTAATGGGCACCTCGTACTTCCTCAAAGATTGCTTCTTTAAGCCTCGGATTCTGGCCTTGCAGAACGGCAAGTTCGTGCTCAAGGAGTTCGGCCGCTTTACCTTGGTATGTCCGACACAAATCTCCAGAGAATACATTTCGTATTCAATTATTTGCTCTCTTCCTGTGTTACCTAGGCCGTGGGCACTGATCGCAATATTGGAGACGAATTGCTGGAGCATCGGGCGAATCTGTTGAGCTCACTTTTGAAGTTCTTCCATCGGGACTTGCAGTCGCTGCACGATCAGTATGCACAGCCCGCACAGCAGCACAACCGGAATCTCAACGAGAAGCTGTATCACATATTTGAGACATATCTACCCATGCTTCAACGCAATGGCAACACATTCCAGAATGTGCCAAAGTTGCGTATGCCCAAGGTGAGTGCCCGAATGGGCTTGCTAAATACTTCATAAATCATTTCGAAAACCCGCCCACAGACCGCCAGCCATATCTACCTGGAGGCCATACAGACTCTGCAAAGCTGTCAGCAAACAAAGGGAATTCTTGGCGGTGCTATTCTCTACCACAACAAGTGAGTGTCTCAGTAAACATCTTTTCAGTCTTACTAATCTCTCTTTCTCTCTATCTATCAACCCCAGAGTGGTTGCCTCCCAGCTCGGAGATGTGGTGACGAAACAATTGGTGCTTACCGATCCCCGTCATGTGCGCACAACGGCCGAGCAGCTGAACATGCAACAGTTTCACATACCGCACGGCGTGCAAATGCTGGTCGTCTATGTGGAGCAGGAGCAGTATCGCAAGCTGGTCACGGAGGCACAGCGTGCGCAGAATCTGCAGACGACAACCACGCAGCTGGGCCAAGGGTCACTTCCATTCCAATATGCGAAGCGTAAGCTGAAGCGCGACAAGTCGCTCATCTTCACCCATATACCTGAGGAGGAGCAGGCGACGTCGACATCGGAAACGGTGGAGCTGCCCACGGCTAGGCCGAAGTCAATGAGGCCAACCCACTTGCCGTTGCGCTTGAAGAGCTTGCATAGCAAGGAGCTGCCCGAGTCTGGCATTGCTTCCATCAATTTCGATGAAACGGACTCCTATCCCGAGTTCATTGGCCGCACTAGCGTCTGCAATACGCCAATGACGGAGAACAAGGTGCTGCCGGTTGCTAATGTTATGTCTATATGCGCCAATCCTGAAGACGAGGATGCTGATGCACATAACTCAAATGGCAAGGTGGCAACAGGAACGGCCTCGTCGTCGCGTCGTAACTCGCTCAAGCAAGATGTGGAGAAGTTCTTTCAGAACTTCATCAGCAATCCGCACAAGCAGCTGACGCGTCGCAAATCCTCAGCCGATTTGCAGGATGCTCTGCGTGCCATTTCCAAGAAATTGGGTCACATCACACACGGCTTCAAGACGGATGAGAATCGCAATGGCAATGGTCACGCCGATGGCAGCTCCGATGCATCTCCCGACTTCATAGAGAATGATGAGCGCAGCAGCTCACGTACGATTAGCGATCCCACCTATCCGGTTTTCAATGCCAACGGCCAGCAGATATCACGTAGCCTGTTCCAACAGTTTCTTGAGCAGTATCGCAAGCTGTGGGGCGTGGCCAGCGAACAGGCCGCACAGGACGCCGAGTTGGCGGCGCTCGTTGCCGAATTTCAGGAGTTCAACATGGAAATACAGAAGCTGGATGAGCACATGAGACAGCAGGCTGCCGAGGCATCGGCCTCGGAGGCCACTGAAGCAGCCGATCGTAATCTCAACATAACTGCAAAGACGCCGTCAGATAAACGGGCCATGTGTCTGCCCCTGAAGTCAGCGGGTGAGTGCGGCAATATGGAGACGATTGTCGCCCAGCGTCGTAATGGAGGCGCTGGCGTCCCCCTGACACCGCTCATGGCTAAGCTCTCTGTGCTGGCGCTCAACGAGACCACGCCCATCGAGATACAGACGCCGCTGACGAGCAGTAAAGGATTTCCGCGTCGCAGCTCGCTCAAGTGCGAAGATGCCGTCGATGCTCTCGCCGCATTCTCCAATGCGCAGCCAGCTGTAGCAACATCCTCGACGGATGGTCTGCAGCGCACGGAACTCTACGTGTGCGGGCAGCAAAATATGACTTTGCTGCTGCTAATGGAAGAGGGCTCCTGCTTTCAGCAGAACATTGTACAGAAGATGGTGAGCTGTCTAGCTGATGCTCAGCGTGCTGATCCTTATCTAATGCTTCGTTTTGATTTGCAGTTTGACATTTGCGTAGCGAAATTTCCGCACATGGAATCTCAGTTGAATCAAACGCTCAACGTCAATGTGGAGGGCGATAAGCGGGATTGTGGCAACTACAGCTTCATGTGCATCGATGCCAAGTGGGATGCACTGCAACGCAATGGGCCGTGGAATCCGCTGGAGCTAAATACGCTGGAGAGCATGCACTGCGATCTGAAGCAACGGAGCGAACAGCTCACCGATTTAATACTTCGGTAACCCAATGGAGTCATTAAATAAAATATGAATATTGAATTTGGATTTCTCTTGACAGCTCCCATGACTCGGTCTTTTATGGCTACAGGTGCGGACGCACCGAGTTCTTCTACAAGGAGCCCACACATCAGATCAATGGCATACCACCGCCCTCGGATCCCATTGGCAACATTCAAATGCGCGCCAAATCGCGTCTGGAACGTGATCATTCCTACATGCTCTTGTAGATTTCGGATTAACCATATGCATAAACAAAACAAACAACAAAATACAAATTACAAAATACTCGCATGCTTAGCCAAAAAAAAGAAAAAAGAAAAAAAAACATACATAAATGTCCAGATCTAATGTGGATGCTACTATGCAGCCATAAAGCCAATTTAATGCCATCCGTTCTAACTGTAACTTACTTTGCCATCTCAGTCTGTGTTTGCATTGAGTAAGGACAACTATTATCAAGTTTTAAGCATATTTTAAATAACATTTATATGTGAGTGCAAACGCAGCTTTTAGCTTAAATTTGAATAGTTTTTATATTATTGTTTTTCAACATTTCAAAAAGTACAAAAGCTTATTTGTTTTTCTTTTTATACATACATATTTATAAAATTGCCAGCAAATGTTATTTAATTATAATTCGATTCTGTTGCAAAATGTTTGTTATGATTGCGAATTTCGTTTTCAATATTATATTTTAGTTGTAGAAACTTAGATATTGCTATACGTTATTTTGCAAACGAATCTTAGTGCCAATTTTAATTCAAAAGCCGTCAATGTGTATAGAAATTGCTAAGTAATATTATATATATATTATATTATATTATATTGTATGTGTGTATATTTAACGGAGTCGCAGCAATTAGGAAACTTGTGCAATATACAAATATTTTGCGATTTTATGTTAACTTTAGCCCAAATACATTATGAATACAACTAAAGAGCACAATTTGTGCTATATACATATAAATTTACATAAATGATATCAGATCACGATCACTATTATGAGACGTGCATGAGTTTTAAAGATGAAAATAAAATAAATTTAATTTAAAATTCCCCCCAAATAATGGAATGTCATTTTCTGTGGACAGTTACTTGTACATATAAAGTCGAGTCTCGATAATTCGCACCCCGTTAAATCGAAAATCGTGATGAATCGAAAAAAAATTCTACCTTCTTGAAAGGAATTCATTCCCTCCGAGTCAGTGTCAATTTGTTTGTGCTAGACATCACATATCAAGAGACAAATATCAATTTTTTGTGAAACTTTTTACGAATATCAAGAGACAAATATCAATTTTTTTTGTGAAATTTATTAAGAATATCAAGAGACAAATATCAATTTTTTCTTGTGAAACTTATTACAAATATCAAGAGACAGTGTCAATTTTTTTTTGTGAAACTTTTTACAACTATCAAAAGACAAATATCTTTTTTTTTTTTGTTTTTTTGTTAAAAATATTAAGAGACAGTGTCAATTTTTTTGTGATACTTGTCATCACATATCAAGAGACAAATATCATTTTTTTTTTTTTTGTGAAATTTATTACAAATATCAAGAGACAAATATAATTTTTTTTGTGAAACTTTTTACAATTATCAAAAGACAAAAACCTATTTGTTTTTTGTGTTACATCAAGAGACAGTGTCAATTTTTTTTTGTGATAGTTGTCATCACATATCAAGACACAAATTCAATTTTTTGTGTGTTACTTATTATCAAATATCAATTTTTTTCTAAGACAAGATGGTGAGTGTGAATATTTTATGAAATTATGTGTGCTGCCATTATAAGATCTTTTGTATTCGATGAACTTTCTACAGCCTCAGCATAGGGAAGTAGTACCAGTTCGCATCAAGCTGCCTGCTTCAATCCAGCCGAATTTTGTGCCCCCGCCGGGCAAAGCCGGGGAGTACACCAATAAGATACACCATATCAAAATGTATCTTCTGGAAGAGTTGCCGCATCATGACTTCTCATTGCCTTTCATGGAGCCGGTGGACACAGAAGCGCTCAAAGTGCCCAGCTATTACACAGTCATTGAGCACCCAATGGATATGGGGACCATTATTAAGCGAGTGGAAAATAATTATTACCACAACGTGAATGAATTGGTATACGACATCAGACTTGTGATTAGCAATTGCTTCAAATTTAATATGCCCGGCTCCCTGGTCTATCGCAACGGGCAGGAGTTGGAGGAGCTATTCAAGCAGGTGTACGACAGTCTGCCAAAGGGTGAGGAGGTGCCTTGCAGCAAAGAGCAGGCCGAAAAGTCATTGACGATGCATCAATGTCGGTGTCGGTTGCGGAGGGTGCGGGAGGAAACCGACGACCTGGAACAGGATGCACATGAGCTTTTTGCCGAAAAATGGTTGCCCGTTGCTATAGACCTGAACAATCAGAATATCAAGGCGTTGGAAGACTTTGATGCACGGCTGCACAACATCCTCAAGCATTGCAAAGAACATAGCAAGCGTATTCTGGATACATACGATTACGAATCCAGTCGAATTCGTGAAGAACAGGCGAACAAAGGTGCTGAGAATGCAAATGATGAACTTGACTACAGTCTGCGCGAGTGCCAGAAGCCACCGTTCGATTGGGAGGATAGCTTGATCGATTCCCTCGATGATACGCTCATGTGCCTCCGGCAGGATCTGGCCAAATCTCGTCGTCGTGAGCAACAGAAGGATAAGCTCGGCTACAGTGAGTGTCTCTTGCCGATCTTTATCAACGCCCAGATTATAGCTGAAGGTCTCTGCTCGCAAACTCATATGCCGGACTCTTCCGATGAAGACGAAACTGATCAGGATACTGTTGACGCCATGGAACGTGAGCTCATTCGGAAGCAGTTCAGTAAGCTCATACTCGAGTCCAAGTACGATGTAATGCACATCATCGAGCAGGTCGAATACCGTTCTGACCGCAAGTACAATATGGTGAACTTTAGCCCGAAGACAATATCGTTGCTAAAGAAAGCTATAATGGGCCATCACATTCGTATGGAGGCGGAAGCTTCGGCGCAGGCAATGTGTAACTCAGAAAGTGAATTTGCTACAAGTGATGACAATCCTTGTGGCTACAGTTTACCACCAGTACCAAAACCCTGTTATTTTCCAATCGAGACCATGTCCGATGGTACGGATGTAGGATTGTCAAGCGTTTCTGACTCCGATGTGGACTCGTATCGTTACTCCGATAGTAGCGAGGGGTGTGATGAATAATTATGTAAATAAAAAGTATATTATTTAAAAAATAATCGCATTAGTAGTTCACTACGTTTATCGAAAAATGATTGATTTATTTCGCTTTCATTTCAAAATTTTGTGTAGTGATTTTTTCTTTTGACTTATTGTTAATGTTTTTACTATTTGTTCTTATCAAAATATTCATATTTTTCTGCTTGCTTCGAATGATAATGTCGTTCATGCATATGGGGCCTATGATAATATTAATAATTAAAATTGTTCTCTTATGGTACCACAATGAAATAATTCTCAAGCGTTTTCTTTGTCCAACTATGCGTATCTCTAAGGTCTTGCTTAATTTGCGAACGAAACTAATTATTTAATTGTAAGCATATTAGATAAATCACACAACAATCTTTGCTGCACTTTGCACTCTCACTAACTTCGTTGTAGGCTGCTAAAAACTATATGGATTACATCTATTTATATATGTAAGTAAATAGTATATAATAATATATGTAGGTGTGTGTGTGGGTGTAGTATGATTAACATTCTGGCGTTTTGTTTTGTTTTTTTCTTTTTCAATTTAGCACATTTGACTACTAAGCTTAGTAATTAACCCGTTGCTGCCGTTGATTTAGTTTCTAATCTCTGACCAACTATGCCACAATATGACTATTCTTGTTCAGATCAGTAAGTAACTCGGCATTCAAATCCTCCCCCTCCAGCAAATCGCCATTGAGTGAATGCGGAATGCTTGTGGACAGCACCATGCCACGCCCACCGCCGACACTGCCGCCACCAGCGCTGCTTGTGCCAATGGATATGTCATCCGGAGGCGAATTGCGACGGCGTTCGCGCTCACGCACAATATGTGGCGCCTCGTTAAACTCGTCTAGTTCATCCATGCCTGACAAGAGGAAAACCATTTGAGTCGATTATAGGGATGGATCTAACGTATGCACTTACCTGCATATTTGGTGCCCGCGAGCAATAGATATTGCCCGGCACGATTGGGCCACAATAGTCCGGTCATTACACAGTAGGCCATGCAGTCGGCCGAGTTGGTGATGCCCTGCAGCAGCTTGTACCGCCACATGGGACTCACCTGCAACGCCACAATAGCCACAATGGGCAGGTAGATGAACCACACCAAGCTGGAGGCGCCCAAATGCAATAGAAAGTCCAGCTTCTTGCTGGAGTGCTCATACTTCATTGTATTACGCAACTCATAGAGAAACCACATCATGAACGAAGTTCTGTTGGTTTAGTATAATAGATTATAAACAATTGATTTTATATAGAAATAGTTTCGATTAGCAACCTACCGCAGTATTAAAACAATCCAGCCTGGCCAGCTCTGGTACTCATCGCTATCGGATATGATATCCACTTCCGTCTGAAACAGAATCAATTTTAATAAGAAACAAAACATATCAAAATACATTGTTCGGAACTTACCCGATCCCATATGTAGAGAAATACATGGAACGCACAGTATGGCACCCAGATCGACATCAATATGATCCAGCCGGTGCGGCTGATTTGCTGTCGCGTCACCGCCCAGCCCTTGGCCAGCAGCAACAGAATCAACATGAATGTGGTGCGGCTGAGTATGTCCAAAACATCCCCAGCTGCCTGCATATTGGGCTCTCCGACCCCATTGGCCGCATATCGAATCAGATGTGCCGTAATCAAAGCCAAACTCACAAATTCACTGACCAGGCTGAGCGTGAACAGCTTGGTCACCGGATGCTTCTGGCGACGCACAGCATAGATTTGCATGGGCAGCAGCACAATGTAGACCAACATAAAGATGAGATACATTTCCAGCAGATTCTGCTGATCGTACGGATACTGATAGGTCAGCGGATGTGCGGCCGAGTTATTCGGATGCACATTCACCAAGTTGATGTCATACTGCAGAGTAGTGAGCAGGCTGCTGCTCCGATTGTTCAGACGGGCGAAGTTCTCGTGGGCATGCCACTCACACGTGCTGCGATTCCGATAACATGCCACCAATGCCACATACCAAAAGCTGAAAGAGAGAGAGAGAGAGAGGACATTGAGGCAAACATCAGGTAATTTGATATACATGTATTCAAGTGCTGATTAAATGAATCAGCAATCAATCTCACTCTGTGTTTTATAGATAAAAAAATTGCAATATGAAACAGAGAAAAAAAACGAAACAGTAGCTACAGACATATCTATATGAATTGTTTGATAAGCTGTCGTCGCTTATCAGGCAATTGTTATTGGCTAATATCTAGGCTACCCACCGTGGTTCCGCCTCCAAGTCTATGACGTAGGTGAACTGATGTCCGCTAATGACATTCGACGGTGCATCCTCGTCGATGCACAGCTGATTGTGCGGGCAGGGCACGCGACGTAGGAAGTCCCGTTTGCCCTGGGGATTGCAATCCGGATCGTAGACAACGTGCTGCAGGCGTGCGAACATGCGCGAGCAGGCACTTTCTCTATTGCGAAAACTGCGATTGCTGTAGAAGTCGACAAACATGGACTTGTCCAGCACAACGAGCGTGACGGGCGCACTGTATGTGTCCGGAGAGGTCACATTGCCGAATATATAGCCATAGGACTCACGACTGCGCGGAGTGGGCAGATCGGCCTTCTGAAAGCCAAATTTGATGAGGAACTGAAAAAAGTCGGCCGTGTGGAATTCGCCGCTGATGTGAGTCGTCGACGCCGGCGGTGTGTGCAGCGCAAGCATCACCAATAACACTAGCCATTGTATGTTGTGGGAGGCGGGGGATGGCACTGCTGCTTGTGGTGTAGCTGATAATGATGCTGCGTACATTGCAGACCTTATCACTGTATTTGTTTTTATGCTGCCAGCGTCGCGAGTTTGTGTTGCTTTCTCATCAGCTGCTGTCGTGGCAGCTGAAGTGCAATGACACTGCCAAGGTGGCGCACTTTTGTGCATTCTGTGCGAATTCGTTAACTATTTTTGTTTGTGGAAACTTCCACTTTGCTCAGTTTTGCTCTGTTGGTCTTCTTCTTTGTCGATTGTTTCGCGGAAGTGGACAGCACGCAAACATGTTAAGTTGTGGCCACCCAGAAAAACATAACATTGGTGAAAATGTTAACGGCAACGCGCAAGCTTTCAAGATATTGGTTTTTAATTTAATATTTACAATTATGTAAATTATAAAATAAAATTTTTGAAATTATAATTAAAATGTGTAGATGTGTTTTGTTTAGTATAAATGTACGTAATTGATTAGTTGAGGCACACAATTTAAATTTACAGATCCATAACAGAACAGAACAAAAGTGTGCACGCAAGTTTGAAGTAACGATAATGTTAATAACAGCTTAAGTAGACGTCGAAAATATAGTCAAATAAAAGTATTGTGCTTCGAGCATTTGCTAATTTAGAAATATTTCTGAAGCTATTCACAAAAGCTTATTAGTTTTCTTAAGTGACATCTATGTTTCAAATTACTGCAGTTGCAGTACCCAGCTTAGCCAACCTAATATTTTGTGAGCGCCTGGACTTTGCATGAACCATAGATGGCGTTCTGAGCACACAAGAAATATAATCGCACAATTTAACGTCTTTAAGGTTGAGGCTCCTTTTTAGTTTTCGAAATTCCAAATTGCTGTCGTAATATGCGATTATCAAACAATAAGGGTCATCAGTAGAGTGATGTATTGCACCCTCTTGAATGGCCGCATTAGCCACAGGCAAACACCTCTCCTCCTCCAGCTCCATCACCTTCACTTCCTCACTCGCAATTCAACAATAAATTTCAATAATTCTAAAATTTATGCGGAAAGAGAATGATGCTACCCTTTGGCGTTTATGCAATGCCAACTTCAAAGTCTGCAGTGTCCGGAATTACCGCTTCCTCCCTCTTCCTCATCTCTCAATGCTTTTCTTTGCACCGGCCAATAAGCGGGCATCCCCCTTTTCCATAAATATATAAATGTGTATTTGTGTATATGTATAATGCATGCGTCGGTGGCGACAATCCCCGCATGGATTGCGGTTGCCATTGATGCTGCGGAAGTTCTGTCAAGGTGCAAAAGAGCTTTGCACGTTGACAATTCCTTTGAGCTTTGATTACTGTAAAGGGAGCGTGAAGGGTTTGATTTTCTTCTGAATAAAAAAAAAAAAAAATATTAAAATCTGTTAAAATATTGAATATTCTATTGTGATTCCATGCTATACGGCTTAAGGGTGGCTCCGGCTGGCTACGTGTTTCTCTTGTTGTCCAAATAGTACTGGAGCTCCTTGCGCATCTTAAATTCATTATTGATGACGAGGCGAAAAGAATTGTGAAGGAAAAGTTAACTCTCCCATCGCATTGTTGACAGTTACAATTCGGGTTCATTCATATGTGCGAAATGTGTAGCAACAAAAGTCGTGAGAAATGTGTAACGAGGGCCGCTTCTAGAGTTGGCCTCGTTAGCAAAAACTATCTATTGCAAATGTTTCAAGGGACCCGAGAAAACAAAATAAATAGTTCAATGAGCAGACTACAAAAATATTAAATACGAAATGTGACTGGGTTGTTGTTCTACCCTGCACTTGTGAATGATGAAAGGGGGTAGATAGGTTTTTGTTTAAATGTATTTAGAAGAAAACGTGGTGGACTATATAAAATATATATATATTCTTCATGAGGAGTATTCCTGTATATAGTATATTTGATTGTTGATGAGAGATAATTATCATAATGATCATTTGATGTAGTATATTATTATGATGATGAGCTAATACGATTTATTTACTAAGAAAAGTATGCTGATTCAGGGTATTTTCTCGTAGAGCAACCCCGGCTATAGCTCTGTTAGTTCTTATTGTTGTAGTAGGGATTTCCAATATAAATCGACAAGGTTAGCAAAAAATAGAAAAATACGCCTAATTTGTTGACAAAGTCCACTAACTTCAGACCCAATGGCAGACAATGACAGAGACGCAGACAGACAGACAGACAGACAGAAAGAGACAGAGAGAGAGAGAGAGAGAGAGAGAGAGAGACAGTTCATTGAAATGCCAAACGACGAGCGGCGCGATGCCCATAGACAGATTGAATGGGGTCAGCATTAGAGCTAGCTAAGGGGGCTTAGTCGCAGATATTTGTCGACCTTTGCGAAAATCTATTTTTATTACTGATTGCCAAATATTGCTGTATTTATAAATAATAATATTCGTATTCATGTACTCCAGTTCAATTGCAAAACATGCGCCGCACCAAACGGGCTGTAAAAAAGTAAATAATTTCCGTAAAGCTCAAGGCGCTGCAGCCCAAGAAGAAGCCAACCAAGCCGCCAATATAGACTGTGGAGAAAACATAAAAGAAAACGAGTTAGTCGTAAATTCAAGTAGGTAATTGAGGAAATATTTTAATGACCTACCCAAAACATCAGCAAAGGAGAACAGAACATCCCGACGTAGCTGCATTTTCGGGTAATCAATAATGCCCCATTGTAGATTAGCGCCCAGAAACCAGACGCGAGACCTCTAAAAGACAGACAGTGAGGGAGAGGTGGGAAGGGGCATAAGTAGAGTAGCATTTGAAATGGCAACATCAGCATAACAAGTCAAGTAAACTGAAATTATTATTAAATGTAAAAACTTTCGCTGCACACTGTGCAAAAAAAAAAAGTTAAACAAAAAACTTTTTTGCGCTTTTTGCCGAAGCGGCCCGAAACTGAAATAATTGCATATTTCAAGGCGTTCGCTGGCAAAACAACTTTTGTGCTTATTATTTTTTACGGTCCCGGTTAACAATTTCAATGTTTGTTCACGGTAAAATGGCCAAGACCTAAGCCAGAGCTAAGAGCAGGAGACGTTGTTTCTTGTTGGCAAACGAGCATCCCACTTCAGCTTTAATGACCGCTAGATGGCGCCCATGCTGCAAGCACTGTTAAAGTACATTTTGAAATACTAATAAAAATACTAAAAAAAAACAAAACAAAAATTAATTACATTCAAACAGAGCTGTGGCAGACGTGAGATATTCAAAGGATATAAAATCATATAATTAAATTTATATATAAAAAAAAAAAAAAAATATATATATATATATATATATATTAATTAGACTTAATAGCGCCACAATTAGAGTAAATAATGTCTAGATAGCATATAACACTATGATATAAGGTTTTATACTTAAGGAGTTGCTTCAGTTATTATGTTTAAGATTCAGCTTATTATTATGTTTCGCTCCACTTACATAAGATTGCACAAAGAAGTTGGAATCATCACAGTTGGACAAGCAATTGCAATTGATTTTGTATTTATCCGACTTTAGGGAGATTATCTCGCCTATAAAATAGAATGGAAAATGATTAGAACTATAAGTGCTAAGCGAATGCAGAACATATATAAGGCCGGTCACGTAAATGCTAAAATATTTCTTGATGAAATTTCAGCCATCAATTCGAAATCAAGCCAAATATTTGCATGTGCGAAGAGGATTATCAAAAAATGCTCACGTTTAATTTTGACCAAGCAGCCGATGCCCTCCAAACCGCATATTGGCAAGCGGCGGCCATTGCGCACTGAAAGAGACAGAAGGAGAGTGTGTGATAGAGAGAGAGAGGGAGATGGCAGTCTGTCGTGAAACTTCAAGTGGAACTATTTAAACATTTTACGAGAAAAATGCAGAGCGACAACAACGATAACGACGTCAACGTTGACACATAAAAGTTAAACTTAATGGGACCAATTAAGTGCAACTATGTGAACGAGAACGTGAACAGGAACAGGAACGGGAAGAGGAACAGGAACGGGAAGAGGAACAGGAACGGGAAGAGGAATGATGATAAATATGAGCGTGATGACAAGCTCAAAATTATAATTACACCAAAGAATTAACAATTGAATAAAATGTTGTGTGTTTGGTAGGGAAGGCGCGACTGGAAAATACCCTAAACTAGTCTTTTTTTTTTTTTTTGCATAAATGAATGAAGTTAAATAAAGTTTGTATACGTCTATATAACATTTCAAATTAATTTGAATTAATTTTATTTTGTATAAATAAAATTAGCTGTACAACTATTTTTACATTTAAGAGTTATACTTCTAATAAAAAATATTTTCAATGGTTTCTGGCTAGAAAACTGGAATGTAAATGTTGAAAAGCCTATAAGAGTTGTGCAGAGCAGAGCTAAGAATTGGATTAATATACATTTAATATATGTACATATATGTATATAGTATATTGTACAACAATACGAACGATTATAAGTGCTAGCCTAATCTACTTACATATATTGCGATAAAAGTGCGGCACGCAGCCGCAGACGCGCAGAGCAAAGAACATGCGGCACTCGGAGAGGCACAGGCCAAAGCTGTAAATGGGCACCGTTTGCATCTCATCGGCCTCATACTGAAAGCGGCACTTGCGCTGCTTGGTGTTGAAGCTGCTCGAATATGAGAATATATAGAAATGATATATGAATGATATATAAATGTAGTTGGGGTCGTGCATGCTCACGCTCTGGCATCCTCGTTCGTGTAGATCTCTAGCGCAATCAGCTCCACCGTTGTATAGTCGCTCTCGGGAAAGGTGTAACGCTGCTTCGATATGCTCGGCACATCGCCAGCGCCGTGAAAGTAAACATCGTAGGCAGTCGATAGATTGATGATCTGTGCATAGATCTCGCCATCGAGCGGATGAACTGTCACGCGATCGCCATGATCCAAGAGGCTCCAATCGCCAGAGCGCCAATATCTTTAAGAATATAAGATGATATCAGAATATAATATAATAAATTATAATATAATATAATATAATATAATATAATATAATATGGTATAATATTTTTGGGCATGCAAAGTGGGATCAAAGAAATCTAGAAGCACATTGGTCTGAAATCAATATTTCTATCAATCAAATCCGAAAACAAACTATTCAGTTTCCTCACTCACTTGTAGGTATTGTAGCGTGCCACAAGTGAGTTGACGGAGTGGCAAATGCCAAACTCCGTTTGCGTCTCATAGATGAACATTTTGACAGCGGCGCCGCTGCTGATTTCCGGCTCGAAGGGCCATTTCAGCTCATAGAGCAAGCTCAAATAGTCGCTGCTGTCGATGCCGTACGACTTGTTCAATGGCAGAGTTTCCAAGTTGTCGTATGTGAGACTCGCAAGTTTGATAATAAAATCCCGGAAGAACTCCTTATCATCCTCGTCCTCGAACTTCTCGCTGTGGGCCCTAAGCGAGATGAGACAGAAGTGAATATTAAATAAATATATATATATTCGATATATATTCAGGCTTACTCTATGTAATCCTCCAGCTTGATGTCATCGATGCGCTTGTGCGGACACACGGTGAGCGATGGGAAGCTGGTGTTCCACACCAGCTTATTGCGATCCATTGAGATGACCATGGGCGAGGTCTGGAAACGTTGCCAAGTGCGTTGGCTCAGCGAGATGATGCTGAACAATGCCACGCAGATGAAGGCAAACCAAAGCATGCTGAAAGAAATCAACGAACAAAAAATACGGAAATGATATATGTCGTATAGAGTCCTCTTTTTTGTATGCCCTGGGTGTGATTGGAAATCGGGTATGTGGGTTGGCTGAACTCTGTTGTAGAAGTTAAGGTAGATAAAAGTTGATAGTACTTGAAGCTTTGAGGGAATCTAGGAGAGTTGTTCTATTATAGCATGAAATTTATAAGATCTATATCATATACCTGTTATTCATTACCTATTATCTAAGTATGCATAAGATCTTTATCAAATACAAGTTAATTATTAACTATTATCTGTCTATTATGAAATAAATAAATATATATATAATCTATGCAGATCACAAATATTTCAGGTTTTAATCTTTTGTTTTGATAGAATTTATCATATCATATTATATGAAAGTTTCATAGCAATCAGCTTTGAATGTTCTCTCTATGAATATTTCATAGAGTTTAATACTTCAATGTAGTACCTCAGCTCTAACTCTAGTCGTATATGCCAGTCTTATATTCCAGTCCGAACTTGCTTTCAGGGTAACTCCTAGTTCTGCATTTGACTTTATCACACTACTATTTTTTTGTTTTTGGTGTACATACTGTGAACGCACATAAAAATCTATTGCGTGTAAATTTTTGTAAGCATCAGTCGAAATATGCGACAGAGAAGAATTATGGCCAAGTTAGGGAAGAGTCAATGAACGAGAGGCGACGCTGGCGACGCAGGCGACGCAGTGGCAACCCTTTTGCAGACGCCCCATTTTTATGTTATGTTTGGCTGCAAGTGCGACGGCAGCCAAAATGGACGCAACACCAAGACACACGCACATACAGATCAAGAGCGAGAGAGAGGGAGAGAGAGAGAAGGAGAGTGAGAGAGAGAGAAGGAGAGTGAGTGTGGACATAACAAGTCTGACAAAAGCCGGCAAATCCTTGAAGCATCTCCCTTTCGCTTTGCCAGTGCCGCACCGCACAATGATGACATTTTGACGCCAGCAATGGCTCATAAAGCCTTCAGCACTGTCAACACACACACACACACATGCACACATGTATATACATGCATAAGTGTGTGGGCACTTCATTGCTGTAACAGCTACTTGGCTTTTAATTTTCAAACATTTCGCTACGAAAATGCTACGAATTTTCCGCTACTGCACCGAATCATTTCTAATTTGAAATTGTCTGGGAAATTCGCCACTTGAACGGGTTTTCCTAGCTGGAAAAGGGAGTATGGAGTATGTACTCTACGATACATTTAATAGCACAAAATTAAATTAAGCATTAAATAGCAGTTTAGAATGAGAAACTTTAAATATAGTAATTAATATTAATATTTGTTTTTCATTTTATAAAAATTCAAATAAATGAATACAAAATTAAGTTAAATGAAACAAATATTTTTTATAAATCGCTTTACATTTTTATTAATTACAGCTCGGAGTTCTTCAGGCTCATAAAATAAAAATAAAATAAAAATAATAAATAAATTTCAAATGAAACCAATTACTTGGCAATTTTTTTTTTTTTTTTATAATTATGAATATTTTATTATTAAAAAAAAAAACATAATAATAATAATTACATAGCATTAAATACATAAATAAAATGAAAAATATATAAATATTATAAATAAATAAATATATAAATTAAATAATTTTTTTGCCTCAAACTATCGAGCTAAATAAAAAACGAATATTAAATCAATTTTGTAGTATTGTCTATAAAACTTTATTAAATGTCATACAAATATAAGAATTAATTAATTTAGATGCCGTATATAAGTTATTTTATAATATAAGTTGATTAAAACATTATTTTATTTTCATTTAATTCGATTTTTTTTTACTTTATATTTATTTAGTATTTAAATGGAGCTGCATCATTTCACGTAGGATATCTGTTAGTCGAGCATAATTCTAATAAATATACCTAACTCTACGCCTTGTTCTTTTTTTTATGACAAGAGCTGGAATTGTTGGTGCTTTTATGGTTTCAGAGAATGTCTGCGTGCTAAAATTGTTTGGACATCATATAACGCCAGTCTCGCCTCATCTGTCTGGCTGACAGCCCGTCTGTCTCTCTGTCAGCCAGAGATTTGCTTTGTTTCATCAGCTCGCGCCACTCATATGAATAAAATTGGTGAGGTGCAATGGGGCAAGGGAGGAGCTCTTAAAGAGTAGGAGAGTGTGTTAAAGGGAATAATAGAAATATATATTTAAGATATAGATATAGATATTTAGAAATATATTGGAAAAGAACTTAAAGTTACATAAAAATAGTTAGACTTTAATTCTAAAAAATAGTCAAATAAATAGTTATTATTATAATTATATAGAAGCAGATATATTGAAATATATTAGAGAAGAACTTAACTTAACTTAAAGTTACATAAGACAACTTAGACTTTAATACTAATAATTATAAAAAATAGTCAAATAAATAGTAATTATTATTATTATATAGAAGCAATCCCACATCTCGACATTTTGCTTAATCAGGTCTCAGGTTATTTGACTTTAGCTGAAAGCTAAGACACATTTCTTACTGATTCGCTTTTTAGAACTCCTCCCTGCCCCTCTATATTTATGTCTATATATCATTACTTCACATGACCTCGCCGTAGGTTCAATAGTTCTCAGGCATAAGTAAACTTTTTCTGTTTGCATTTAAGCCATTGTTGAACTGAAATGCAACTCAAAAAAAACAAAAACAAAAAACAAATAGTGAATGCATTTACCAATACTTTTGCCACATTTGGCAACCTCTCTACAAACGGCATCCGCATTGCACATGCATTTGCGTATTTTGCATTCGCAGTTCGTTCTCTGATTCCGGCTGCGGATTATGCAGTCGCATGACTCCCATTCATATACCCCTGCCCCCAGTTTTTCCCCCAAGCTCCCATTGCTTCGCTCGGAATTGAGGTTATCACATGTCAGCAGCACAGACTCCGGCGATTTATGCATATTTCACCTGAAATATTTCCACTGCAAGACTTAAGCCCCTTTTCCGAGTTATTTAAATCAAAAATATTATGCGTTGCACATTCCTTTGAATGCTTCGCCATGCTGTCCTAAGTAGGTGAAGGATTTCTTTCTTTTTTTTTTTTTTTTTTTTTGTTTGCTCTTGACTTGAGCTTATAATATTATTATTTTATTATATATTATTTATTTTTTTGTATATATTATTTAATTTTTTATTATTTTTTATTATCTATTAGTTAGCCTAAATGTAGTCATTATACTTTAAAAATGATCTCAACAAATTCTTTTACTAAAACCAACTAAAGTTGCTTTTTCCTCTGTAGTTAATTTCATTTTCAAAAATATTTAGTAGAGTATATGACAGTCAGTTATACCCGGCTGCCTTATTCTATTCCTAATTTCTGGGCTTTTCTTTTGCAGTTCAACGCGAATAAATCAATCTGAAGTGCAGAAATAAAAATGGGCCTGAATAAATAAATTTGTGGGCAGCACAAATCATTTAGTCGCGCGGCGTGGGGGGGGGGGGTGGGGATATATGGTATTAATTAGAGCCGAGCTGAGCTGAGTTTTGCGTGCTGCACACCAGCTCTTACCTTGCCCTTGCACACGGTGTGGGGCGAGGTGGGAGTGAGAGGCACCACCTGTCACTCTCTCCCGGGCGGGAAACTAGCACAGAAATTGTAATGGAGCTTTTGCCAGAGGGGCTAGAGGAGATTTGGATAGAGTCTGGGCTGTGTTATCCACTAATTAACCCTCAGCTGCTGGTTGACTGTGGTCCATTTTCGTTATGCCAACATTTGCCACATGCCCAGCTCCCAGCTCCCAGCTCCCAGCAACCACACCCACACCCACACCCACCTGCCCTCGCCTCGAGTGCCGTGTGGAATGGAGTGTGTTACCAATTTAAGCCTTGCCAGGCATGCCGTGTAATCCTGTTTGTCATGTCATGTCAGTTTTCAGGATTTATTGCATTGCCGCTTCGCTCGCACCAAATACAACAAATACAAATTCCAGCAGCACAAAAAATATTACCTTCCCCCGGCCCTAGAGCTGTGTATGTCTAATTTTATGCAGTCGAGTGTGTGTGTATGTGTGTGTGCGTGCGTGTGTGTGTGTTTTGGCCCGTCAGAGAGTTCTTATATGAACACGCACTGCTCCCGGTGGGTTAGCCGGGGCATATGGCAGCGAGATCGAAATTATAATCGGCTGCACGTGCAACGTGCCACAATTTAAGCCCTTCACTTGGAGCTTTCGAGCCTGGAAATCGAAACCGCCCGAAACGAAATGTTAAACTCGGCTGAAAGTTTCCGCTCTGAGATTTTAGTTTTCTGGCCTTTAGTTTAATTTCATTAGGAAATTAATTGGACGAAAGTGCTTGGCAGTGTAAGAAAGCAAACAGCGAAATAGAAATGGATGAGAGAGGGAGGGAGAGAGAGGGAGAAAGGGAGCTCAATTGTGGGCCTAATTAAAAAAGTTTGTAAACTTTTACTTTTTTTTAAGGGTAAAGAGATTGAGGGGAATGTAGAAAAATCAGCAAGTGCAAATGTTTAGGTAGTAACTCATTCAGTTCTCATTACGGCATGGCAATGCGTTTTCTGACCGAGTTCTGCAAAGGTAAAGCCAGGACTCAGAATGAATGCTGAGATAAGGAATGTTTGCCTATAGGAAGTAGCCCGGATGGACCGTCTGAAACTAGAGAGTGACGGCCTTTATATACAATTTGGAGTATTTTTATTTATTTTTCATTTTCTGTGTTATTTTATTTATTCTTTATTTCTTTGAGTACATTGAGCATTGATGGACCGTCTGAAGCTAGAGGACGGCGGCCTTCAAATACCACTTTCACTGCTTTATTATTTTCCATGTTATTTCATTTTTTTTTTTTTTTTTACAATTTAAACTTATTTTTGTCTATTTTACGTTCCATTTCTTGTTTATTTCTTTTTTATTATTTATTAATTCAATTCTTTATTATAATTATTAATTGATTTAATTACTTAATTTAATTAATTTTTTATTATTATTATTATTTTTTATTTATTTTTATTATTTATTATTATTTTTGTTTTTTCTATTAGTCTTTTATTTCATTAAGTATAATTTGGATTTCTTATATTTTTATACCCTGAACGGAAATCAGGGTATAATGGTTTTGAGAAAAAGTATGTAACGGGCAGAAGGAATCATCGCAGACTCCATAAAGTATATATCTCGGCATTTATCGATATAAGAGTACATTCGATAGTTCTTAAACTCTGACTACAGAAGATATTATCAGTTAAGCAAATATCAATGTAACTGTCATGCGCAGCGATTACCTTTAGTATAACTAACGGTAATTTCATACTACTCTAATTGAAAGATTCAAGCATGTTATAAATATATTTCCTAGGCTCAAGAACAATACATATAAGTAAAATTACATTGAATTTAATTAAATTGAATCCTCTTAACTTCCATTAGCTCAACTATAAAGTCATCAAAGCCTCTCGGCTATAGCTGCAGTGCGTCAAACACAGCAGGAGACGCCGATGATGCACTGAACCATAACTAGAGCAACTCAATCATAGCACAACAGGACTCTTACTTACCGTTCCAGGAAATTCAAACCGAACTTGGCCAAATAGATGAAGCCGTGTATCGAGGATCCCTGCAGAAATTCTATGATGAAAGCCTGCAGCTTGGCCAGATATGGCAGTGGAGCCACCTGCTGCTCCTCCTGCTCCTCTTTAAGCGATTCCTCCGCCTCCGCTTTGATGGCCGGTGGCTGCCAGAGCGGCGGTCGGCGAAAGCTGCGTATGCTGTTCGCCTTGCGGCGATTGAGCGATGCATCTTGCTCTGCATTAGCATTCGAGACTGACTTTTGCAGCTGGTGCTCTTTAGCTGCCCGCCGTTGATCGGCTCGCTGGGCTGTGCCCGGAAAGAGCAGCAGACCCGGACCCACGCGAGAGCCCGATCTAATTGGCGTACTCTTCAGCTGCTGCTGCACCAGCGAGGCGGTGGATGCTGTGCGCGAGTCTTCGCTGTCTGTCCAGCTGTCCAAGCTTCGGTTCTCTTCCTGCTGCATAGTTATGTGGGCGTGGCCTAGGCTGCTGGGATGAGTGAGCGAAAATCTGTAAGAGAAGAGGGGAAAATTGTTAGTATAAATACTTTCAGCTAATTAAGTTAAGCAGATTATGAATTATTGATTTGGTTTATAAAGCTATGCCTAACATTTAAGTGTAAACTGCTCAAAGTTGAATTGCTAGGTGTAGTAGATATATGATAGGCCTATAAGAGCTGTTTATTATTGAGTTTTTTAAATTACAATGTAAATATATATTAGATATACGAGCAGTTTTTTTTCAGATTTATGTTGTTGATTTTATTACTATTTTGTAAGTATTAAATTAACATATTACTATTTTGTAAATATTGAATTAACATATATAGTCGATATATATAGATATACAAGTAGATTTTACAGAACTTTTTTATTTGTTTAATTACAATTTAAATATTGAATTAATACACATATACGGCAGATCTATGCTAGACATAAGAGGAAAAGAGCAGCATTTCCCACGATTCGTTGTTCTTACTATTTTGTAAAAATTTAAATAACATATATAGTTGATATACTTATATATGGTAGGCGTATAAGATAAGTTTTTCTTAAGTTTTGCTTTTAGTAATAAATTTGCAAATATTAAATAAATATACATATAGTCGAGCTTCATTTTTTATTTTATAAATTACTATTCAAATACTGACTGTTTTATGTAAATATTATATTAAAATATATAGTAGATATATGATAGGCGTATATAGGCAAATATGTTTTTTTTTTTTTTTTTTTTAAATTTTGTTAATATTGAATAAATATATTTAGTAGTTATATGATAGGCACATAAGAGCTGTATTTTTCAGAGTTTTGATTTTTTCTTAAATTATAATTTAAGCATTGAATTAATTATGTAAATATTTAATTAATATAAATAGTAGATAGGCATATTAAAATTTTTTGATTATTTTTTTAACAAATAAATTAATCTAGTTTTACATATTTTTGTAGAGTTACACAAATTTAAATCATAATAAAAGCTTGAAATATATTTTTAAAGTCAATATCAACAGATTTTATTAAATGTATTTGAGCTGGGCACATAAAACAAGAGATTAAATTGGCTTGTTAACACATATTATAGTATATTATATACATATATACTCATTTATAATTATATTTATATTAAATATAAAAACAAGTCAGCTATTTACTGGTCTATATTATTATGCATAGATTGCAGCTAAAGTGCTGGCTGTTGCCCGTTCGATTCGCTTAAATTATTTACAATTTGCAATTTGCTCTGCTTTATTCGCATAAAGCGTTTATTATACGAATCAGTCTCTCTCTCTCTCTCTCTCTCTCTCTCTGTATATGTATATACCCTTCGTTAAGCATAAAAACGTCGTTTTAAATATGTTTTCCTGACGCAACAACAACAACAACAATAAATTATTATTGCAATTTTTTTTTAATGCGATGTAAATTATGTCGTTGCAGCTGTGTGAGTACTCACAGTGTATGTGCGCGTGTGTGTGGGTGTAATTTGTATAAAGCCATTGAAAAGGCAATCAATATGTAGCACTGGACACTGAAGTACATATGTATGTGTATGTGTGTATGTGTATAGATGGATAGATTGCATATAAACCTCAACAGACAACTGCCATCAGAAATGAGGCATTAAAGTTGCGCATAATTTGGTTAAGATTACATTCACTCAGCTGCCCTATGAATGGAGCCCAAACGAGCTGAGCCGAGCCGAGAGAGATTGAATGAGCTTATATTTATATATACTTATACATATATATGTATGTGTGTATGTATCATTATAATGCGTTAATTGGGTACAATATGGCACAGTAGACTTTTTATTTCAAATTATAAAGTAGGCTATCAAGTTTTTAACAAACATTAAATCAGTCGAGAATTGCGCTTAACTCATTTTTTTTTTGTTTCAGGGAATTTAAGAGAATTTCAAGTAGAGTATATAGTCTTGTAAACTTTCCAAATAATAAAGCTGCCCAGAATATTTTTTATTAAACAGAAAGCAGAACAAAAATTGCGTGAATTCATTTCATTTTCATTTTCTTTTAATTTCATATTAATAAACGAAAAGTTATAATTTAGCCCACATCGACTTTAAAGTCTTAAAGGAACCTCTACAACATAATTTTAGCAAACAGAAGATCCATCGAGAATTCAATTTTAATCTATAGTTTCATAGTATATTTTTTTGTGCAATTTTTCCTATAATTTTTCTCTCAAAGAAAAGGTAAGTTTCTCGACCTTCGCACTGCCCCACTAAAAACTCCCATTGCAGTTCCAATTGGAAAATGAGCATGGTCGACTATCGCCTGTATTTGTGCAGCAAGTGCTGCCGGCGCTGCCTGTGGCACGAGCTGTCCCCCCAGGAGCATCGCTGCGCACGCTGCCGGCTGCCGCTGCAATCCTGCGAGATCTGTGATCGCCGCTTCGAGCCGCGGGATCGGCAGGAGCTGTACTGCAAGCGCTGTGACTTCCATTTGGTAAAGCAGGCCTTGCATACGCCGCCGCCAGTTCTGGAGCTGGATCTGGATACGGAAACGGAACCGGAAACGGAAGCGGAACTCGATCTAATTGAACCGCCACGCGATCGCTCGATGGCACAGCGCTGGAGCGACATCAAGTCGGCAGCGGGCATCGAGGACGATCCATGTTTCCTTGAGTGATGTCCAGGCTAGGGTATTATTTCCTTGACCCCAAGTGCTCCATAAAAATATATACCTAGCTCTGCTATGATCACACTTCAATCCCTGCTCCATTTGGGCAACTTACATGCGGTCGAGCGTGGGTGCATTAAGACCTCCAGCTCATTATAATCAGTTTGTAGCATCCGGATTGGGGTCACATTATTGGGGCTGTGCTGCACGCTGATGGGCTTCGATGGGTCGGCGTCTGTAACATCAAACGGCTCTGCGCACAGTACACAGTCCTTAAAATGGATTAAAATTTCATTTAAATTTGCATTTAAATGAGCGCCGCGCACTCGAAAGTAAATGCCCTCACTTAAGCACAGGACAAAGGGCTGACCAGACCCAGACCCAGACTCAGGCCCAGACACTGAGACATCCAGACAGAACTCGAGAGTGCGATAGGTCCGGCTTGCCACATGGGCAACATTAAAAGCTCTTTGTTTTTTCTTTTATTTTTTTCCAGTGTATTCTTTGCTCTTTTTTTTACGCAACATTTCTACTGGCAGCTGCAGTTTCAGTTGATTACCTTTGGCAGCTGATAGGATAGGCGAGGCGTGGGCTTAAGCGAGCGATCTGCTGCTGCTGCTGCTCCGGCTGCTGCTCCTGCTGCTGCTGCTCCTGCTGCTCCTGCTGCTGCATTTTAATGGGTATTATTTAAATATGTATATTTTACAATTAAATAAACGATTTTTATGCTCTTATGGCGCCCAGTTCCAATTTCAGCTGCTGTTCGGCCACCACAGGAATCCTTTCAGGTAGCCCAGCCCAGTTCAGTCCAGTCCAGTCCAGTCCAGTCCTGCCCAGACAGGGACTCGTGTGTATTTTCCGCTTTGCGTGTTAATTAAATTGCAAAACTGCCTTAAGGACATTTTAATTGGCCTTCACTTTGTGGCACACTCCATGTATGTTGTGCACCAGTTGCAGTTAGTCCCATTTCCAGCTTTCAGCTGCACTAGCTTCCCTTGTCTGCCAACTAATTCACGATGCCTTTGTTATCGATATATTTGCAATGTTCATAAATGCATTGAATATGGGCTTTATTATAATATAATATATTTATTATATTATATTATATTATATTATATTATATTATATTATATTATATTATATATTCTTAGTCCTTGCCAATTTATTGGCAATATACGTTATTTATCGATAATTTTTTAGTGCTTGCAAATCGGAGATAAGCTTTTTTTCATCGCTTTTACTGCATCATAACTGAATTAGTTAAATTAAAATTCGAATTTCATTTGGCAAAAGTCTCACAGAAATAAAAAAAATTTGTTTATCGATCAATTTGAAATTAGTATTAATGGTAAATTAAATTTAAAAACAACTTTAGTTTATTGGAAATACAAATTTTATGCTTCAATATAAGCGATACAAAGTATTACGATACAAAATACATATATGTAATATAGTTAACAAATAATAGCTTCACTTTCTGCAATTGATCGACTTTGCTGAAATCGATAAGCTTATAAAACGAAACAAAACTAATTGTATTATTGACTGCATCTGTGTATGAGACACATCGGACATACCCTAGTTGGCCAGCTTATAGACTATCCTACTGCAAATAACCTTTCGATATTTTCAATCTCCATAAATATTGTATATGATATGTTATCAATATATTGATTACGCTCGCAATTCAATCAAGTTTCTTGTGCATTTAGTGTATTATGAATGTATTTGGAAACTATTTCAGTTGGCTTCTCGTTTACATTGTCCTTGTCGTTCGCTGCTGTTCGTCCCTATGCCCTTCTGCCCATCCGTCCGTCCCTCGCTTTGTCTGTTGGCGAAATAACAAATTTTCCAATTTGTTTCTTGATTTATTTTCACGCCAATTTCTTGGCGTTCGCCTCCGACGACGCTGCTGACATTTGTTTATTTATTTGCTTTCATGTTTTGTCTGCCGTCGTTTTCTCTGCATTTGCTGTTGCTGTTGCTGCTGCTCCTCCTCCTCCTGCTCCTCCTCCTACTGCTGCTGCTGGTTGCGTGAAATCACGAATGAATGAATGACTGCCCTGGCAGCCACCATGAATATTCATGGGCCATGCCACTATGAACAACAGCGGCTACAACAATAACTACAACAACAGCATCATCAACCTCGGCAGCATCAGCAATAACAACAACAGCAACAACAACAAGACGCAACTAACTCAGCTTGCATTTCCGCTCTATGCGCCAACAATTCGCAGCGCCATTTCGCTGTCCATAGCAGCTGAAGCAGCAGCAGGAGCAGCAGCAGGAGTAGGAACAGCAGCAGCAGCTGTAGCTCAGCATCGTGGTTTAACTGCCCTATTCGAGCGGGTATATTAAGTTAGTTATTGTCTTTGAATTGAAAATTGTTTCATATATGAGAACTTTAAACTATCATTGGCCCAGCTTAGCTTTTCCTAGTTATCGTATATACATTTATATATTTAAATAAAAATTTGTTTTAAAGTCAATGAAAGTCAAGTATATACATATATAATTTGTTTGCTTATAGCTGTATAGTCATTAGCTGAGGAATGCGTTACAGTAATTTAAAATTTATCAACAAATTAATTTTGTATTAAAAGTAATTCATTTGTGATATATTTTTCATTTATATATATTGTTTTAAACTAATTTTAATAATTCATATTTTATTTATTTATTTTTTATTTTGTAAGAATTATTTATTTGTTTAATAATTATTTGTGTTTTGTAAAGTATGATGTATTTAATAATTTATATATTTAAAAATCCATTTTTTATTTAATTATTTTATTTTATTTTTTTTTTGTAATAGTTATTCATTTGTTTAATAATGTATTTGTAGTTTTTGGTATATGTTGTATTTAATCATTTTTATATATTTTTTTTATATAATAATTTTAATATATATTTTTTTTTATTTTTTTATTTTGTAATCATTATTTATTTGTTTAAAATTTAATTTTTATTTTTTGCAATGCTATTTTTATATATTGATGTTATTAATGTTTAACTTCTTTCTCACTTAAATAGTGGAAAAAATCTTTTAAATTTATTTGCTCAATTCTTAATTTAGTTTTCGATCAAAACTTTTTATCACTATTAAAATATTTATCTATCTATTTCATTTTAAATATTTTTTAGAATTATTAATTTATATTATTAATAATATAAATATTGTAATTATTTAAAATTACCCATTAAAAAAAAAAAAATATATATATATAATAATGCAAGCACATTCGCACTTCGACTTTTTCTGATTGGCACTCTTCACTTTCTTCTTCTTCTTCTTGTTGAGTATTCGCTGCGCGCAGCTGTTTCTTGGCGAGATGCTGCAAATGGCCTCGTTGCTTGTTGCTGTTATTGTGGCCATTGTTTCAGTCAACATTTTGTGGTTAAGTGAGGCCCCCCCCCCCCTCTTACCCTATCTGTGTGTGTGTGTGTATGTGTGTGCAACAGTTTCTTGCAGGCCGCACAAAAGTAGGCAATGCTTTGCGCTTGCATCGAACAGGAAATTTAATTAAAAGCGCTTTGTCCACGATATCAAATATAGGATATATATATATATAATATATATATACATATATATATAGTAGAAACCACAACTTACACTGACTGAAATTGGTTGCCTTCCGCTCGTTCACTGCCAAGTTTTTACACTGCCTTCCACTGCGCTCGGCTGAGCTAACGAACTGTGACTACAATCAGCGCACTGCCTGCACTTGACTTTAGTACATTTTGGCTAGCCAACGGCCAACGGCCAATGGCCAATAGCCAATGGCCCAATGTTGTGATTTTTAGCCGACATTTTGGGTCGCCTCATGAGAAACTTGTCAGCTGCTGCTCCTGCTGGTGCTGCTCATGTTGCTGCTGCTGCCGGCCTCCGACTTTTGTTGATTGCTCCGGAACAATCGCAAAGGCATATTGTCTGACACACACACACACACACAGAGACCCCTACGAACTGCGATGCCTGCAACGATTTAGAATCTATTGATTTTCAACGCTAATTACTATTGAATAAGAGTGTGTGTGAAGGGCTATGCGTCAGTGTGTGTGTGTCTGTGTGGCATTGTACTGGCGTAACAGAGAGAGTGAGAGAGAGAGAGACCACTTGTTTCCTAATTGTAGCTGTCCGATAAGATTGCTGCACGATTTTATGTTTTGCCTGGACTAATCGCTGTTTTGACCAAAGGTTTGTGGCCTTAAATATGAGTTCAGGTGGGTGAATTGTGGCTATGATGTGGACTATAGTATTTATTTTTGTTTTCTAGATCTATTCATACCTAAATGGTAAGCTAGATATGAGAACTATTTTATTTTATTTTGTTTATTTAGTTAATAGTCAAAGTTTTTGTGTAGAAGTTACATATATATATGTATGTATTACAAATTCAAATAAATATGCCTTCTGATTGGATTTCAAGAATTCATTGTTCAATTTCATCTATCATAGGACTACTTTTCATTTCACATAACGACTCAAAGATTCTCATTCTGGGCATCAATTAACTCATTGCCAACCTTGGCATGAAATAGTTCAACATAGCAAAGCTAAATAATATTTCATTTGCTTTTCTGCAATGCAAAGACAGAAATGTCTAAATGAGTTTGACCGACTGCTAGATGCCCTGCAACGTAAGCGATTGTTGTATAAGCCGATATATCCTTCATAAGTTAAGTTACCTATGGCAAAGCTGCAGCTGTTCTCTGCTCACCTAGACTTACATACATACAAGTCTCTAATGCCTAGGAGATCCAATTATTAAACTAGAAAACCTCTATAGAGCAACGGGCAGTAGCAGGAGGAAAAACCGCTTTTGCCTTTTGGCAAATCGAGCAAACTTTGTAGACCATTAGAGAGTCGTCCTTGTTACTTTAACTTCTGCTACGGCTGGAGCCCCTCACCACCTTGTCCACCTCCTCCTCCTCTTCTATGTGTTCCGCTGGCAATGCTATGTAATCTTTGATTTTGCATGAGCAGATTTTATAGGGCAGGTCCAGACGCGCTTTCTCTCTCCCTCTCTCTCTCTCTCTCTCTCTCTGTTGGCGCTGCGGCCAGTGTTGGGGCGCTGCAGCTGTATAAATTTTACATTTGTTTCCTTTCAATTTAACAATGTGTACTTTTCGTATTGTTTTGCTTTATAGAGCAGCTCGCGAAACGGGCAGTCAGGAAACGGAGACGGGGCGTGGCTCTTGGGGTTGCCAGCCATTTTTCACGCGAGCCAAGCCCTGGGTGAATGCTCACTTCATCGCCTGATTTCGCAATATTTATGATTAGCAATTTATTATTCATCATTTTCGAGTGCGCAAACAAAGCGCCAACTCAAGCATCAGTCGAGAAAAATCGAATGATGTTCCGCAATAAGTCTTCAGCCAAGGGCCAAAACTGTGAGTGGGTCGCTGGTTGGGTTGGGTGATTTTCGGGTGGTTTTCGTGTACCGCCATTAACTTGCACTTAATTTGATTAACTGAAAGCCGATGTTTACATGCGCTGCATGCCAGCAAATCTATCAAAAATGTGTAGAATACTTGAGCAAGCGAATTGCGGCCGAACTGAATTGATGGCTGTAGCGTCTGCCTTGAGCACCAGGAGTAGGCTTAGTGTGTGACTTGTGTAAATAATCCACCGTCTTTCCATATTATATATGTGAATATATGTATAGCTGTGCATTAATGGGCGTGCTACACAATGGGGGAAATAAAATATATACTTTGTGAAATGCAACCACTTCAAATTGAAGTATTTGTTTCGGTTGTTTTGCTAACCTGTAATCATTGCTGACAGCATATGTAGTTGTATATGTATGCATATATGTATAAATGAAACTTACATCCGATCAGCGCGGCAGTCGAGCATTCTCTCTTTCTCTCTTTCTTGTTTTACTCTCGGTTACACTTAAGCCTCGCTGATTAAACTGATTGCATTGCAGCTGAGGACGAGAGTAAGCAGTGCAGATCGTCTTCGACAAAATCGTTCGCCTCTATTCACACTAGTACACACTTGCATACTTCGCTCTGAGCATTCATCTAATATTACGCTCTTGTAATACTTATTGTCTGCATATCGACAACGAAATGTCTCACTATGCATGTGGACCCACTAATACATTTACATAGCTCAAAGCTCAAAGCAGGCTCTCTTTACTCTCTCCTTCTCTGTTACGCTCCTTCAATACTAAGAGCTTGCATATTGACGACGAAATCGCTCATGTTTACTTACACTAATACACATTAAATAATATGCTCGCGTTCTCAGAGCCTCAATATCGCTTTATATATAGTTCAGCCTATACTTCCACTAATACATTTACATATTTCGCTCAGAGTATGCAACTTATATTACTCTCTCTTTCTTGCAAACTTCGTTGCAAACTGAAAGGAGAGAGATATATAAGTTGCCTACTCTGCATATAGCAAACAGTTTGATGTTGATGTTGAGAATTTTTGTATTATACATATGTGAGACTTAGCCAAATTTATTTTCTTCATCAATATCAAATGAGTTCAAAAATTTCTATACTAATTTCGTTGCTGATATTCTCCATTTATATTTACCATTGTTTCAATTATTTCCTCTCGTATGTGAGCAATAATGCAATTCATTACGAATCGAACCCATTACTGGTTTTTGCATTAGCGAATAGCTATAAATTACTGCCGCCATTATTGGAGAACATAAATATGTATATAGATATATTACCGGGCGACACTTTGCATTCGATTTAAAATTATTTGCAATTATATTAAAATGTTAATGGCCGCAAGGCGAAACGCTTCAATGTCTCTGCGGGCTATTTACACATTCCAATAAATTTCTGGCCCAAAACGAATTTTCGAACATTTGGCGAGAGTTTTACATATTTGCTCCTTCCTTCTCTTCCACCACCTCTTCTTGCCTCTTTTATACTCTTCTTTTTCGCTTACGAGCGCATTATTGGGTATGGGTATGGGTATGGCGCTCAGTTGGCACTTGAAAATAGAGCAATATCCACTTGCATATGTCGCGCGGACAGTTTAAGAATGAGTCGACGCCATAAATATTATTGATGGGCGGGGCAACGCCCACCAGACGATGATTGCGGAAAGCGGATGTAAAACCTTGGCAATGACAGTTTCGGGTGCCGTCTGTTATGCAAATGTCGTCGTATGCCAGCGTCTGCTGTACTCGCCTCGCCTCTTTTGCCTGCTCTGACTCTGTTGCGTATGCATGTGTGTGTGTGTGAGTGAGTGAGTGAGTGAATTCGTTGTGTATGTGTGAGTGTGTGATTGTGTGTGTGTATCGACGCCTGTTTATATGCAAATCTTTTTTTTCGGTCGCGCCTGGTTTGTCTTTCGCTTTGCTTTCTTTCGCTGCAGCGCCGCCTGTTTTATTTCTTGCATTAAATTAACATCAATAAAATGTGTCGTTTGTATTTTTCCCGTCTGTCTGTTCGTCCGTCTGTTTGTCTGTCCACCCGGCCCACACTGACCCCGCTCCCTTTTTCTGCACTTGTCTAGGCCATAATTCGTGGCTAATGCCAACATGTGCTGCGATTTGTCCATGGAGTTTGAATGACATTAACTATTCTAGAGAGAGACAGTTATCTACGTTTACCACAAAATACATATATGCATTTTTTTTTTTTATCAAATATTTGTATATTAAAAGATTATCATATATAAAATTCAGCCTCTTATTCCTCACACAAAGTAAGCTATACTGTCATTTAAAAAATATACAATAAATAAAGTATACAAACAAATTTCAAATATTAATTTCAAAAATAAATAAAAATCAAAAAAGCATAAAAAAATGAACCATCATGAATTATGATCAGCTCCAATGGATGCCAACACGTTCAGCGCGTTTGCATGAGATCGATCTAACGCAGCGGCCCAAATCCGATTATGTCACCCTGTCTCTACTGGGCTTCTATATTGTTGGCGGCATCCTGCTAGCCATGAGCCTCTTCTCAGTGATTTGCATTGTCATTATGATATGCTGCGGGAGCTTGATTTTTGGCCCAACCAATGAGGGTTTGTTATAGAATGTAAATGCAACCCGAGAACCGCAATTATCGATTTGTGCTCTGATTTTGATATTGAAAAATGTAGACAAGATTCATTTTTTAATAACAAAATCAGAGTGCGAAATGTAATACGGAATATGGTCAGGAATTTGGTGAGATATAGTACTATATACTTAGAGGTCTCTTTAATCTTTAATCTCCGATTCCTAAATAGACGGGAGATACTTGGGAGCGTGATATAGTGGAACTGAAGCACTCGAGGAAGTTATACTGAAGACCGTGGAGGGGAGAAGAAGAGAAGGCGTATGATGCTTGAGTTCAATATAAAAAACAAATGAGAGACAGAGAGATAGAGAAAGTGAGAGCATATTTATTCAAGTTGTATGCACTATGTATGAATGTGTATGTGTGTGAAGTAACATCAAAATCTGTTCAGTAAACGGTAATAAAAGTATCAAAATTTGTTGTAGAAAGAGCAAAAATGCGTTTATCTTATAGTTATATAGAGTTGGGTAGTTGGTGATGATGATGGAAGAGGAGAAGATCTTGTAAAATAGACTGAATTAGTCATAATTTAGGTAGTTGTTGGTGATGGTGGAACTTGGAGAAAACTCAAACATCAGCAGCGTTTATATCCAATGCTCTGGATCTTGACATAATATTGTCTAATTAAAATGTATAGAAATATTTTATATTATTATTATTATTTTAGATGAAACTGCCTAAGGGATGACTGGACACGAATTTTAAAAAATATTAAAAAAAAAAAAAAAATATATATATATATTTATATAAGCTTACTCCCACTATACATATTGCAGTAGAGTAGTTGTAGTTTATCAAAGATTTGAATCTGCTGAGAATGCTTTAACACTCACAAATAATAAATCAACTTGCCTAGCATACTAATGCAAGAAACTTTTCAGCTAAAGGCAAGTTTAAGTTTTACTACAAATTAATAAATAAATACAAGCATTGTTTAATGCTCGTAAATACAACAAAGATTAAACGAAAACTCATGCAATGCGAAAGCTTTTCCATAGCTGGGCGGCTTTCCCTTCGATGGGGGGCGTGGCGCTTCTGCTGCTGAGCTAACAAATCAACATGGTCATGAAATATTAATATTAATGCACAAATATTGAAAGAAAGTCTGCATGCGAGACCGGGAGCAGGAGTAGGAGCAGGAGTAGGAGCAGCAGGAGCTGGGGCAAGTTCCTAAAGGCGATTCGCAAATGCTTCTATACCTAAGTGAAATGCTAAAAGATTGATGACTCGGCGTCTTTGTGTGTGTGTGTGTGTGTATTGGCCGGACACTCGTGTGTGCGTGCTTATAAGAATTTATGGCTATGTGTGTGTGTGTGTGTGTGGGTGCGTGTGTGCGAGAGCAGCGCTGCGTATACGCAATATTTGTATTTATGTATTATGAATCAATGCGCGTAGCGTGCTAAAGCTTTGTGCACTGGCCATGGCTATGAATTTTAGGGCAGTCAGCCTGTCAGTTTGGCATAAAAAAGTATATTTATATAAAGTATATATATGTGTGTGTGTGTGTGTGAGTGTGTGTATTGCCCACTAAAACAAAAGGATAACAATAACTTCCGAGCAGGAGGCGGCGGTTGGCAGCGCAATTTTTACGAAAGGTCTATATGGGGGCGGATTATGCGTTTGCGGGGCGTTGGATTTTGGCTTATATATAAGCTCACTTACAGCACAGCGCATAGAGTGCGCCCATAAAAATTGCATGAAAATGAAAGACATCCCCACACACACACACGCACAACAATCATAGACAAAGGCCGAACCCTGTGCATTCCAGCTGTAACTGGGCAAAAAAAAAAAAGAAAAAAGGCCGCATAAGTTGCGTATGTTTCTTTCCATCTTCCTCTTCCTCTTTTTTACGTAAAAAATTATACTATTACAATCAAGTTTACGAGGGCTATTTGGCCGCATTGCTTGAGTGCCAATGAATATGATGATGGCCGGGCAATGATCAGCCGTTTAGATGATGATGATGATTGTGTTGGCTTCTCTTCTCTTCCGGATATAAAATCAACGCAAATGGTAGACAGTGTGAGTGTGTGTGAGTGGGTGTGTGGACAGCGAAATATTATAGACAGAAGTTGGCTTGGGATAAAATGTTTGAAAGCGTTCAAGCAGGGAATACAGCTAGCTCTATACACCACTTATATAGTCTGAGTGGGTGGATGTACGTAGATTATTATCTGAACTTAGGGAGAAATTCTCATTATATATCTTATAATTGAATACTTATTATGTTAATTCTGTATATACGAAAGAGTTGAGTCTGGAAATGTGATATAAATATATATTTTTTAAATTGATAAATGTATACATTTATTTTTATATCGATAAACATAAACAACTTTTGTAAAGATAAAAAATAAATAAATTAAATGAAAATAAAAATGAATATAATATATTATACATGTATTGATAAATATACACACATTTGTACAAATCAATATAAATTATCCATACATATGTATATTAATATACTCGACTTATAGTTGCTACCAATTTATATGTTTAGCCTGTACTATAAGCCTTATACAGGCAACTTCCACTATTTGCACTTCTCTTTTATCTTCGATTAACACTTAAGCCCTCGCTTCAGTCGTTAACCCTCAGAAAGCTTGCCTTTACAGTTTAGTGACGTCACAGAGCTCAGCGCTCGGATAGACATGCAAGCGCTGCCTTTTGGCATCTTGACATTGATGATTCCCCAGATTTGCTGCAGCTACAGTTGAGCCGAAATGATTTTGCTGTTCCATGGGGCTATTACATTCCTTGCAGCTGTAAACTTTTGCTTACCCTGCCAATTGCACTTTGTGTTCTCCTTTTATGCTCGCTCCCAACTACAACATTTCGTGCTTTCTTTATGCATTCGCTCACAGCCAAACGCACTCTCAACACCCCACAACATGAGCAGCAAACGAACATTTTGCTAGCTTCACTCAAATGGCTCTTTTTTTTTTGTAGACTCCCCTCGACATAAGTCCAGATGGAAAGTGCAGAGAGAGGCAGTCAGGTAAAAACTGCTCCAGCTAAAAGGGTTGCCAACAACTGCAACAACAGCAACAACAGCAACAACGAGAGCAGCAGCAACAACAACAGCAACAACATTCAAAACGAAACTTTGAAAATCGACAAGCGGGGCTTTTGACTGCCGCTCAGCTTTTTGCCTCTTGACGTCGCTCTACCTCTCCTTCTGCCTTTGCCTCTGCCTCATTCTTCCTCTCCCTCTCTCTTTCTGGCACCCACTACATAGTGTTTTTTTTCGCGAGCTTCGGCCACTTTTTTGCGCCACAAAACTTTACACTTTGACATGCAGCCACGTGTACGACTATGTTGTGAGTGTGAGTAGGAGCGTGAGAGCGGCTGTGTGAGTGTGAGTGTGTGTTTGTGAGTTGAATGCGGATTCGTTTGCGCGCTTTGCCTGACATTCGCTTTGAATGCAACTGCCGAACTGGCAATGGGCAGCGCTTTGCCATTGCCTAACAAACTAATGCCAAATGCCTCAAATAGTTGGTGATTAAAATGATGTCACAAAGCTTTTTTATTTGTTGCTTTTTAAAAGTGGATGCCATTATAGTATTACGAAATATGTTATGCAGAAAGAGATTATATTTTATTTAAATATGTAAGTATATGTATATTTATTTAATTATTGCATCGGTTCTTCTGATCTGATTTTCGAAAGTAAAATACGGAATATTTATTGAATTAGTTCTAATGTCTAGGTCAATAAGAAGTTTTTATACTTATTTCTTATATCTTTAAAAATTAAAACAATTGAATAAAAAAATATTAAATTACGTTTAAAAAAAGAAAACATTTAAAATGAACTTCCACTTGAATGAAAATGATCTGAAATCGACTTTATTTAGTAGACTCCTTTAGTCTATGAAGCTCCGTAATGCATTATTTAATGACATAATCATCAATTCCTATTGCTTATTAACAGTTAAAATATTGTGTAACGCATTTCGATTCAAGTGTTTTCGATATTCATTGTAAATGTAGGCTTTATCCATTAAGCAGTTGGTTGGGGCTGCCATTAGGGCACAAATACAGTCATAATCATCAGCAAATGCTCTACCTTTCTCTCTCACTCCACAAAGCAAATACACACGCTCGCATATGCAAAGCTTTACATAATGCACACACACACGTGCGAACACTTGAAAATCTTTCAGCTCGCATGAATATTTTAAAAACTCGCTCAGAACTTATTCAAATTATGATAATGATGGGAACGGCGAGTGCTTGGCAAATTGTGCATGTGTGTGTGTTTGTGTGCTTGTGTTTTGGAGAGGGTTGAGGCTCGCTCTTGCCACGCTTCTTCACTCTCTACGCTCTCTTTGCCTTTGTGTGTGTGCGTGTGTGTGTGTGAGTGAAGCGCTAACGAGCGCAGGTACTTGGGCGACCCAGGCACAAGTCCCAGCTCGCAATTCCCATCTAGTTCCCGTAATGCATTTCATTAATTTGTATACAATTCTCTTCTCTTCTTTCTTATTTTTGCGAATCATCAGAGAGATGTGTGTGTGTGTGTGTGTGTGTGTGTGTGTGTGTGTGTGGCAGTTTATGAGCACTTTTTGTGAGTGGATCGCCATCGGCATCATTAGAAGTCACTGCACGACAAAACTCTGCCCTCGAGAAGGAGTTGAGAGTGTTCCACTTGACTTTGAGCTCCTTAATTTCTGTATTCAGCTTTCTGTTTTGGTTTTTGGTAAGCTATTTTTTTTTTTTTTTTTTTTTTTTTTTTTTTTTTTTAGTAGGAAGCGCCAGAGCATCATTTTGCCCTATAATCTTCCTTGAAACAAAATTTACATCACAGGTTTAACATTTGCTTCTAAAATTTAAACATATATATTTAAGTAAATTAATTACTATTAGCGATGAGGTTTTCGAACTGTCGTCTTTTTAATCGACGAATGGGTTTCGAATTTGGCAGCTTTCTTGCCAGCCGGTTGGCGTGGGACTTGAGGCGATCATTATACCGGCTTGAATGAAATGAGATCTGCTCTTCCACTGAATCCATTTTGAGATCTCTATGCAAGGAGGAGTTTCTTACGAACCAGGGGCATCCAGTGATTTGGCGCAAGGCCTTGTTCTGCATTATCTGGATCTTTTGTCGGTTACTCTTTGCGGCGACTAACCAAACTTGTACACCGTACCTCCATATTGGCGTGATTATGTGCGTTATTAACATACGCTTGTTTGCAAGGGACAGCTTGCTTTTGTTGTGTAGCAGCCAGGACATCTGCTTGAGGCGGGCGCGACAGGTGCCAACAGTCGCCAGAATGTGGGGCTTGAAAGTGAGCCGACTGTCCAAGTGGATGCCCAAGTATTTTACCGTCCGGGCTTTTTCCAAGGGGGTACCATTGATGAATACGGTGGTGGGCGCCTCCTTTCTTAAAGAAAAGCATAAGCTCTTGCTTTTAGTGGCGCTAATTTTAATATTCCACCTGTTCGCCCATTGTACAAAGGAATCAATAAAATCTTGGAGAATTTCCGCCGCTGCGGAGCTGGATTTTGTTGACACCATTACGCAGATATCGTCCGCATAGGTTGCCACCAAAGTTGAACTTTGGGAGACTCCAAAGCCTGAAGCATCAGGAAGAGGAGCATCACCTATGAAGATGCAGAAAAGAAGAGGAGCGAGGATACTGCCCTGTGGTACGCCAGCGGCAAACGAGTATGTGGAGGACTGACTCGATTTAACTTTCACTCTGAAAGAACGACCCTCCAAGTAGGATCGGATCAGAGCGAAGTAGTGCGAGGGCAGCTGTTCCTTGACCTTCTGCAGCAGTCCTGGGTGCCATACCCTATCGAAGGCCTGTTCGATGTCCAGAAAAATGGCATTACAGTGCTTTTTGTTGTCGAAAGCCCTGAGGATGTGATCCGTCACTCTGTGCAGCTGCTCGGTAGTACCGTGTCCAGCGCGGATGGTAAGCTATTGAGCAAATATAGAAACTGGTGAGAGTTTTGCATAATCTATATGTTTTATTCTTCATTTGAAATTGTTATTTTAAATAATTAATGTATTTAATTGATAGATTTGCATATTGAGAATGTACTTTATACCCTGTAAAATTAGTTGAAAGGAATTGAGGTTTATAGAATATTAATAAGCAATACTCGAAAAATTTACTTTTTTTGGTTAAGTATTCCAAAAATTAAAAAAAAAAAAAAAACTTTTTAATAATTATTATTATATTTTATTATATTTAAAAATTTTTAGCACCAATAGCATGCTCTGTATTTAGTTTCTTCATTATTCCAGTAAACTTTTTAGATATATGTGTGTCAAGAAATTCAATAAAAATCGGTATGGATATTTACAAGGAGAGCAGAATTGGGCATTACAAGCCAAGTCTGTCCCCAGATCAGATAGTAGATGATTCGATTGAGAGTGGAACAGCGATTCTGATCACCTTGGCGGCCGTTTGCCTTTTCGTTGGCTTCTGCTGTCTGACCTTCATGATTGGCATCTTCTGTGGCCTAGGCTGTTGCAACACTGACCACGCGTACAGGTAACAGGTAGCAGGTGAGTGACGATCTCAATTGAATCTAATAATAATAATAATTGCTATATATTCAGCAGCAGAGAGCGTCAACTGTGAGCATGTCCAAAAAAAAAAAACTCCAACAGATGTAGTAGGCTTTGCTCAGAAATTTATTCCAACAGTTATAGCTAAAAGCATGTGTCAATTTTAAATCTTATAAATTATAAAAACTGCCTTAAACTGAAATGCTGTTTGTTTCATAACAATCCCTATACCATTGTTAACTGAAAGTCTTGGCGGAGTTCTCTGAGCCGTCTTATGGCTCCATTGTGGGGGAATGTGACAAATGCGAAACAGTTGGCTGAAACAGTTCTCGGACAGATGCGACGGCAACAGTCGTAAATGCACTCAGCACTTTGTCAGCTCGCAGACAGCAGAGATGCAGCATCCATTTCGGCCTGGCCAGTGGCTGCAGTCTATATGGTCTATAGTCATATACTTGAGTATGACATGAGCTTTACATCTACTTCGGGTTTAGGAGGGGAAGAGGGGGTGGGTGTTTGCAGTCTGCCTGGATAAGCATAAAAAGTATCACTTTACTTCTGCCACCATGAGCTGATGTTTTCTTCTCGCCTTCTTCTTGTTGTTTTGTCTAAATTTCGTTGCTTCCATATTCAGTTTTATAATTTTTGCTCACAAGTTTTTGTGGTGCATGCAAAAGTTTTCATTGCCACAGGAAAAACTTCTTTTTGTTTCTTTCTTTCTATTTTTTATGCTCTGCCAGAGTTTTGGCGGAGTGCATGTGCACTTAGAGTGTGTGGATATTCAGTTGAAGAATGTTCTATATATATAGATTTATATATCTTTACATGTGTGCAAGTATTTATATATATATGCATACATATTTCCGACCTTCTAGCTCTTCTTCTGTTCATATTTTTTAGCTTTCCTAAAAGGTCTTTTGATAAATTTTTTTTTTTAAATAATATATTTGAATATATTTCCAATCATAACAGAATATTAAATATAAATAATATATTTTCCCATTAAGAGAGTTTTCAAACCAATACACTAAAAATTCATTTTTACAGGGTATACAAGCTTAATTTATTGCGCATTAAGTAGATTACGGTTATTGTTTTTCGCATTTCATTATGAACACATTAAAGATGACGCAGAGCTAATGTGTGCCTGATATCTTATGCCTAGAAATAAATTATAATATCTCCTATTCGTAAAGGTGCTTAAGTGGTATCAACTTGGCTTAGGCTACCTGCCCAGCCAGCTGACGAATTCTCGAAATTTCTCAAGTTTCCGCTGTCCGCCCCGCGCGGAGACCTGCTGCCAGCGCTGCTCCACAATCAGACGCTCCTCCTCGTCCAGGGTGTTCATATATCGTTTGAGCTTCTTGCCAAAGGATTTGAGCAACTGCGTCGAGCGCATTTGGATCGTGCGCTTCCAGCGATCGAAGCCCGTGCGCTGCAGACAGAGGGAAATCAATTGCACCTCAATGCTGGACGTCTTCTCGGCGGCATCTGCGTCCAGGTAGACGTCCACGATTTCATAGAACAACTGCAGCGCTGCCGCTGTGTAGTTTCTCTCGTGCCGGAGGAACAGCTCGAAGCTGTTCAGGTAGCTGAGTATGATGGGATTCTGTGAGTCGAGCACGAGCAGATCGTCGACCACGCTGTCCACCAGCTCTGTGGCATGCTCCATCGCACGCTTCGTGATGGCAGCCAGGCTGTGCTCCGCTTGGGCTGTCAAGCGGCTACGGCCGTGATCTCCATAGCTGGCCACCAGGGGGAGCTGTGGGGCAACAGATTCGTCAATTGCGGAAACCTGTGATCAACGCACATTCGACAGCTTACGGGCGATAGCAGGAGGAGCAGCCAGCCGTAGTGGATGAGTGGATGACTCCGGGTGTTCATGGTGACAGCTTGACAGTTGTTTGCCTACTGCACGTCTCAGAAACGGGCCACGACCACATGGCCAGATAGATAGCCTTATCATAGGCCTTTCCATGCTAACGAATTGCCTACAGTTTGACATGACGATGAAATACGATTGTGCGCTAACTTGACACACGCCACGCCCATGACGACTGATAATGTCGCATTGATACGGGCAAATGTGAATTCAAATGCCTGTAATTCATTTGATTTTAATAATCAAAAGTAGATAAAGAAACAAATGCGCGAAATGAGTGAAAATTAATATTTGGAGTTGTTTTTGATTGACTTGATTAGTGCTTATCTATAGATGTATAAAAGATGTATGATAAAGGTTTTTGATCTTGAGCAAAAAATGAAAATTGTAAAAAAGAAAAGTTAGGGAAATGTTTGAAGAATAATTATATTAAGTGATATATGTGTTCTATAAAATATTATAAACAACATATTATATAAAAATATTTACTACACGATAAAATCTGTAGAAATGCGTAAGTTTCTATCTGATGTTATCGTGTAGTAAATATTTTTATATGATATTTTATTTATAATATTTTATAGAACACGTATATCATTTCTACAGAAATATTGCTACTCAATAAAATATGCCTCTACTATATAAACACCTGTTTCTCACATACCTTTTTATAAAGCCAATATGCCGCTCAGAGGCACACACCCTAATAAATATTATATATCAGTTCAGAGCATCAGAATATATCAGAATGTCTTAAGCTTTGTGTAAATATTAAAGAATACCAAAAAAGAATATTACTTAAATTTTTTATCTGATTGGCAAAGACTGAAACTGCCGGAAACTTTCAATATACAATAGTTTGGATAAATATCATAACACAAAATACGTAGCTGACCGAAACTTAAATTTGGGGCATGAAAAATTTATGTGGCGCAACTAATTCAAATGGCGTTGAAAGGGAAGCTGAGGATTCTCTTTAACAAAAAAAAAAAAAACCCCCAGCGGATGACAAAAACTACGCAGTCGAGCGAGCGGAAACGCATGCGGATAAAATTAATAATGGCCAAATAAAAGTTCTCTGCCTCACTCGAGTGCCAATGGAGCTGGCGGCGTGGCGAGGGCGGACGGGGTTATAGCGCCCGCGGGCGAGTGGCGTGTGTGACAAACGTCGCAATCGTATGTGGGTCAGTGGCATATGATGAAAATTGGTGGCATCATCAACTTCGCAAATGGAGAATAAAAAGCGGTATTACTGGCCTTTTTGCACTGTCTGGTTTTTTCAATGGCTGCAATTGAGAGTTTTGAGAGGCGGCAAATCCCAGTGCTCGCCGCGCATTGCCCGCGTTCGGCTGCACTTAAAACTTTGATAAGCCAAGCTGACTGCCATTGTTCGTTCGGGCAGACAGCAAAAATAAAATCTGCAATCATCCGGCTATAAATGGAAAAGCTGCTCTGCTACTTATTTCGATGGAGCTTCATTGATAACTTTGCTCCACTGCTTTATATAGAATACTTCCAGTCAATATTACTGCTCTGTAGAATATATATTTCTTGTTTGCCTGATTAACTTTTGTTGTAATTTTCATAGTAAAAATATTAAAGACGCGCACCGAGAATCACATCCGACCATGGCAGTCGATCGTCAACTAAATCGTCGAGCTAGGCTTGCGCGCCTGCTAAGCCGACTCTCTCTCTCTTCTTTTCAAAGCAGGTGAAGATGAGAGTAAGCATGCTCACACTTTCACATCTCACACATCAATATCGTCGTCGACAAAATCGTTCGGCTCTGTTCTCACTTATACACACTTACACACTTCGCTCTGAGCAGGCAACTAATATTGTGCTTATTAATACTTAGGCAATTCGCCGATGATATGCTTGGCCCGTGCTCACACTAATACATGCACATACCTCGCTCAAATCACGCTCTCTATACTCTCGCCCTCTCTGTCCTGGTCCTTAAATACGAAGAGCTTGCATATCGGCGACGAATTCGCTCAGGTCTACTTACACTAATACACATTTACACATCTCGCTCTGTGATCGCAGTTAATGTTATGCTCGCGTTGTTAAATTCTCACAGCTTAAATATCGCCGAATAAATTGTTCAGCTAGCTTTTTCATGCACTAATACATTTACATACTTTGCTGAGTATGCAATTTATATTACTCTCTCCTTCTTGAATATCGGTGATGAAACCATTCGCATCTACTCACACTAATAAAAATCTAGACACCGCTCAGAGCACATAACTTATATATTAATGTATTAGTTTCTTTTCTAGCTCACTTTACATATAACGAAGATATACAGAAGATAATACTAACTCTTGGTATTAAACATAATCAATTTATCAGGCGTTTTACAGCTAATAATCGGCATGTAATCAAGTATCTACTACTAAACAATTACGTCAACAGAGACACATATACACACACATATATAATGCATGCATATATAACTCTCAGAACTCCCACAACAGATTTATGCCAGAAATATATGGCTAAGCAATAAGCAACTCAGGCCCTGTCAATCCCAGCTGAAGGGAAACATGAAGAGGGCTCCGGAGAAGAAGAAGACGAAGGAGAAACACAAGTGTTGTAAATTCTGTCCCGCCCCTTCCTAAGCGCGTATTCCATGCCACCCTTGGAGCCACTCGGCGCTCGCATGCAAATTTCAATAACTTATATTCGTAACCCTTCCGCCAACTGACACTGAATATCAAATATGAGGCAAGGCGCAGACGAAGTACAAAAATTATTTGCATACTTTCTGGGGATGCTTGGCCCAAAAAAAAAAAAAAAAAAAGGCGAAAAAGAAGAAAAACTTCAACGAAACAAAGGCAACAGAAAATAAGCAGAAGAGTTATAACTAAAAGCTGACGAAATTGAAATACTCTTACAGACAAGCTATAAATTATTATATAGCATTCTGTATCTGTATCTGTATCTGTATCTGTATCTGTATCTGTATCTGTATCTGTATCTGTATCTGTATCTGTATCTGTATCTGTATCTGTATCTGTATCTGTATCTGTTTTTCATTGCTTTTCATCTTTAACTTCTAAATCAATAGGCTCTACATTAGAGTATCTTAAGCAGCTGGAGCCACATGTGGCGCACTTTCGGTTTAGTGTTAAAAAAAAGCTAAAAACAAGCCGTTACATGCTTCCGGGTGGGTGCAAACAGAACAGCCAGACACGCCCCCCTCCCCCTCCTCACTTCAACCCACCTCATCACCGCGTGGTTGTAACCACAGCACGCAAACGAACAGAAACGAAACGAGTTTATTTATTGCATTTGCAAATTTTACACAACATTTTGCAGTCGATGGTTTCGCTTCTGTGAAAGGTGTAACTCGAGTTTATCGCTGAAAAATATTTCCCCCACCTTTAGCAGAAATTGATTCGGTTTATGTATGTGAAAAGCAAACTTTGCGAGGCATTTGTAACACGAAGCGGCAAGTTCAATGAAGCCAAAGGTGTTTGCTTGTTACGCTGCTCCCACCGCACCCCGCACCCCGCACTCCGCCACCAACTTCCAAATTTACGTGTTCGCATTGGTGTTAGTGATTGCTATTGGGTTCATGGGCTATGAGACGGGGGTCTGCGTGGAGCTGTGGGCTGGGATGCAACCGTTTGCCAGGCAGGCAAATTGATGTGCAAATATTTCCATAAATTTATTTTCTATAGCGTCAAGTTTTGGGTGTCATGTTTGGAAACATACAAAAAATTTGCGCAACTTATTTGAGCATCCCGACAAAAACTCTCTCACTCTCTGGCTCTCTCTCACTCTCACACATATTCTCTCTCTATTTCTCTCCATTTCTCTCCAATGCTGTCATGAGTTTGAAATTTGATTTTTGCGGCAGGCAAAACTTTTTTGAGGGTTCATGCAGACTATTTCAAAAATTTGTTCATTTCCCTATAAATTTACAATGCCTTAAAAAAATGTGATCAATCTTATATTATTTATAAGGCTACAAATCAAGCAACATACATGTATAGAAATCTCGAATTTTAAATTATACTCGAGGCGGTCGGTCACTTGATTAATAGAAGATTTCATTTTTGAAGAAATATGCATTTTGGTATGTAGTGAAATATTTATTGCTCTAGGAACTACAGCTCTGCAAATTACTGCTAAGTCAATTTGAATTTCTTTTCAATCGATTTCGAATGTATATTTTATTTATGGGTATTTAAAAAAAAAAAACAAAATGATTCAGGTTTTATTAATATAAAATTTAACCATAAACCGGAATCGAACCTTGAATTTTTTGTTACAGTGCTGAACGTGTTTACACTGGGCTACCAAGCAGTGATATGACTGTTACGAGCTCACAATCACGAGCATTAAATACGGCCATAGCAATCAAACCTGAAATGCTCGCGCTGTCGTCGCTCGTAACATGTTGGAAGCTCATGCATCAAGTTCTGGGTTCGATTCTCGCTCACGGCTCTTTTATAAATAGAATATAGATTAGGTGTGTGTTGTTGTTGTGTAAGGTGTATAAATATTAATGCTATTTAAATATATATATAGTCTACTAATAATACGCCTGTCTGTGTGTGTAGACAAAAACAAACAACAGTTTTGGAATAAAGTTTTTAATATTTTTGCGTTTTACTTATAAATTTTTTATTATTTTTGCTGTTTTTTTACTATACATAAGTGCTTAAAGCTAGCTGTAACTAATAGGCATGAAATAACAAATATATATATATGGCTCATTTACTTACTTGTAAAAATGTTAATGTACCTTAAAAATATGTACATACCTTAAAGAATAAAAAATTAAAAAAAAAAAAAAAATTAAAATAAAAAAAATTCTCAGCATATTTTTACCTCAGATGGGACTCGAACCCACAATCCTCGGCTTAGGAGGCCGATGCCTTATCCATTAGGCCACTGAGGCGGTGAACACTGTGGCAGCTAAAAGCGAATATAAATACAGGGCGTAAAAGCGAAAACTTTGCCAGTCGACGCAGACGTTTATATATATAGATAAAATGAAATTCTGTTTTGGCCCAACAATAGAACGGATAGAACAGCTGTTTATGGCTGACAAACAAATTATTTACCTGTGCTTATTTCAATAATTGTTTGCCTCGGATGCGGGCCAACAGCTGGGCACACAATTGGACGCAGCGTTGAGTGAGACGTTGAAAGGTCGTTGGGCAATATTTACTCAACAGCAACAAGAATGCGGCACAGTGCGTATGTCTGTGTATATGTACATACATATATCATATGATAAATCAACGTCACTTAGCGTTCATTGGTAATTCACTTTGAGAACTCCCAGAAACCAAAATGTAAACGCCAACAGTGTGCGGCCGCTTCAGTCAGCCATGAAGACAGAGCCAGAGAGATGGAGACAAGGTGGGAGAGAGGGAGGTGCAGAAGAAGAGCAAGAGAATGGTAGGGAACTGCTTCACACACGAAGACGTATCATTTATATCAATTTAAATAACGACCTTTCAATGCTGCCGAGAGCAAAGCATGAAAAATCCCTTAATCAAATGCTTAAAAAGCTCAACAAAACACCTTTTGTGTGAGGGAAAGTGGAAAATGTCCTTTGACTGACCAAAGGCGGGCAGCAAGGACCCTCACACACACACACACACCCTCGTATTGGTTTAGATGGATGGTCCGACGAGCTATTGACAGTTGTAAGCCATAAACCACAGAAAATTGGGCATTATATTAGTTAAGATGCTGTCAAGCTGAAAGATATCGCCTGCTTCAGGCTTACTGATACCGGGGGCCCAGCGGCCAGTGGCAGCAGCAGCTAACAGTGAGCCCAAACGTAGCCGCAGCCGCAGCCGCAGCCGTAGCCGCAGCGCAGACATATCGTTTTCAACGAAAGATACATAGAGCGCGGTATCCGTTTCCGTATTTGTATCCGTATTTGTATCTGTATCTGTGGCCCAATACACACCGTTTGACAGGCAACGCAGGGCGGAAATCGAAATAGAAAACAGAAAGCGCCAGCGAACCTGAAACCGAACCCTAACTCCAACCCGACGCCGGAACAAACACTGAGTGGCCAGCGGGCAAGTAGATAAGCAAAACGCATTCATCTTACTGAATGAGAAGTCCGCAGACGACGAACTGGCTGACTGGAAAGCTGGTTGGCTGGCTGGCCTAGGCAAAACTAAGACCAAACAAAAGTTGTCCAGGCGTGGTTAAGAGCTATGCGAGCATTAAAAGCTTTAAGATATTTCATCTGCTTGTTAAATCTGACAGCAGCTGATGCAGCAGGAGCAGGAGCAGCAAGAGCAGCGGTAGCAGGAGGAGGAGCAGCACCAGCAGCAGGAGGAGCAGCGGCAGCAACAGCAGCAGGAGCAGTAGGATGCAGCAGCAGACGGTGCAGCAGCCTCATCTGTTTGCATTCTCAAAATAAGTAGAAAAATATAGAAAAAAAGTGCGGAAAAAGCGGACTAGGTGAAAAATGGAAGAAAACATGCGAAAAGTAGCAAATATATTTAACAAATCATCATAATGAAATATAAATCAAACATAAAAACATTCTGTTCGAGTAACTAGTACACCTCTAAGTTTTTCTTCTAAGAATTTTCTTCAAATATTTCCTCTATGTTTTCTTCTAAGTATTTCCTTAAATTAATTCCTCTAAGT